TGCAAAATATTTCATTGTACAGTATGTGTCTTATATCTTAATCCAGTGTTGAGATTATTAAAAAGTATCCAGGACCCTAGATTTCTATATCACAAAAATGTAGCTGATATATTGGCAAGATTTTTAAAAACTACTGGAAGTCAAACCTTCAATGACACCACTGTACATGTTAATCCTGTCCGTGTCAAGTGTTGTCACCTCATTATCCTGAACCCTGTGATCCAAAAGCAAAGCCTTTGCAATAAGCTTGATGCCACAGAGCATCTCATCAGAACACCCGTTTGCAATTATGACGCTGAGCATTAATGAATCTGTAGGAACTGTTCTAAACTGATGTGTTTGTGCGCAGATTTGGACAGCGTGTTTTACAGTCCTGCATCTCAGACGGTGAGGGCTGGTCAGAGCGTTTTCTTCAACTGTGTTTCTGGAGACAGCCTCCCTCTTGCTCAGATCAGCTGGGAGAAAGACGGACAGCTTTTTAGGGAAGGAACTCAAATTCAGGTATATTCCTAAAAGTACAAAACGTTTTCTTCTGTACATTCCCGGCTCTGATATGCATAATGACGTGATTTTCGTCATTGGTTTTTACTTTTAATTACTGAAAACATTTGCTAAGGGTGTATTTCAGGTTTATATGTAACTTTAAAAAGTGTAAGGTAGTAAAAACAGTACGCTTCAAAACAGTTTGTGTCTCAATATTGGCAAAAAATAGCTGTGTGTGTGTAGAACAATGGCAACATTTTTTATTTAGGTTTTCAGAAGCTTTTCAGTGATTTGTTCTCAGAAGCGGTTCACAGAAACCGACATTTCCATTACCCACACGGCAGCACCCTAAGCTGCCGTAGGGAAAAAGGCAAATCAAATATTTAAAAAGTAAATCTAATAGTTTTAAATGATATTAGTGGAGCTATATTTTGAAAACCTGACACTGAAGAACAGGGCAAAATCTTTAAAAACTGTAAATTGGAATCTAGTTTATACTCGCTAACGGCCAATAAAGGAAGGGTTGTATGCAAACTAATAAACAGCATCTTGGTTGTATAAAATGTAATAATACCTGAGCCAAGACTGTAGCAATAACACATAGTTAAACTCGGCTTAGCAAGGACTGCAGGAAAAAACAACCACAGAACAACCACATTTTATTATTAATGTTTAAATTTAGAGCATTTAAAGCTTGCTGTTAGCATTGTACTTTATATTGAAAGAATTACGGATCTACACTGGTTTTCTAATTGTGACCTCGCACAACATGCCGGGAGCCGAATGCCCCAAAAGGTTTTATGAATATTCCTTTACAACATTTAATAATAAACAATGTGACATGCAAAAGCTCCACAGCTACTGTACGTTCACCTAAAGAGTCAAACCTGAATTCCCAAATGGCAACCAAGCGACCCATTCTTACAGCAGGGCATTTACTAAAGAAATATGTATATAAGATATATACTGTAAGGTATATGTATATGTATATAAGAAGAGCTTTGCTTGGCCAAACAACAGAAATATCCCATCAAGGACCCATAACCCTCCCCTCTACAGTCTAGATACCTTAGCACTTCACCATGCTGGTATCTTGGATTCAAAAGTATACTGTCTGCAATGCCTTATAAACTGCATTATATGCAGTATTAAGGCATCCTGCAAGAGGTATGTTCCTCTTGCTATATCTATACATTGGTATAGATCTATACATTGGTATATATCTATATCACTGGTTTATAGCATTATATCACAGCAGCCTCTGACACGGTATTAACACTCTATTTCAGTCTCTGGATTCAGAAGTTATCCCCCGTGTTTCTCCCTTAGAAGGGTGCTACACCTAACCACCCCAGTGGAGGACCTCTGAAAAACAAATACCATTCTATCTGTGAGCCTGTCATTGTTACGTTTGTGTAGCTCAAATGTTCTCTTCTCATTCCATTTTCCACATAGGGACAATATGGAGGGGGTGATCACAAGAAAATATCTGGGACCTTGCACATTCCCTCTGCATCCAAGGAAGACGAAGGAAATTACACTTGTGTGACTCACAATCCACTACTTGCCACAAGAATGCAAAGTGTAGCAGCCTCTCTGACAGTGCAAGGTTAGGGCACTCTTTACTAACAAATTCAATTGGGCATCCTTTATGAAAAACTACAATATGATACTGGTGTGTGTAATGAATGTAAGTATGATCAGTTAACTAATACAGTATGAAGTCTGGATTATCAGTTGCTAACATCATTTGGTGACAGCAGCTTTTGCTTTTAGCCAAAATTGAAAAATGTGATTGGTGGTAGGATCAACGTTCTGGTTTAAGCATAAGCTAAAAAATCTGCATCCATGAGCCAGAATACTGTGTTTCTTTTTTAATGTTATTCACAGACAATTTAAAGAAAAAAAAAGTGAATTATATAGTCTCACTTGTCGCACCACAAGGTTGAGTTGTTCATGAATTAGCAAAAATAAATACATTATAGAAGATATATCATGCATTAGTCCTCGAGAGACTAATGATATCTGCGTGGTTGTAATGATGGTAACACACCTAACATTTTTCGTGTGAGCATTAAGTACTCAGTATGATGAAACTCAAACCCAAAGACATTCACAGAGTTCAACACCATCCCAAAATATCATGTGAGTGCAATGTAGTATTTGGCCATTAGATGGAGCAGGAGTACATACTTCTGCATGTCACTGACAATTTAATTGACCAGGCAAAATAAGCTCAGTGTATATACAATACATATATTAAAAGCAAATATTTGAATATTTGTTTTTCCCTGTAAATCAGCTTTTTGAAAATGGCCTCTTAGGGTGGGGTGGACAAAAGACTGTTATTGTTCAGTTTTCTCAAACACCTCTTTGTAATGCAGTCACTCTTTTAAAAACACAAAAGCTGTCCAAGGATAAATTGCCAGCAGATCCTGATCAGACAATGATTGGAGAGGTTGTTTGGCGGTGTGGTATTTTGTCACGCTCCACAGAATCAATTTAGTGCCGCATCCAGGACTATTATCGAGCAGAGGGAAAAACAAGACACTTTTCAATAGGTTTTTGTGTTGTTGCACTCGGGGATCGCAAGGTTAATTGGTTATATTGTAATTCTGTAGAACAGTGGCCATCTATGATAAACAGACCACAGACACGTTGCGATGAATTTTTAGCGCATGTTTTCACCAAAGTTTGCGATTGTGGAACATTTAGGAATTATAAAGCACTGGTAATAGTGTTAAAAATAAATGCTAAGAATTTAGCAGCACCAATATTGCTTTTGAAAAAGGAGAGAGAGAGAAATGTCTTTATAGAGGTTATGAGGTTATTCGTGTTATGAATTGGATATGTTCTTGTGTAAAAATAATGTTGTTTTGGTCTTCCGAAGCGTTACCATCCCCACTGGTAATCAGCCAGGGCCCTGCCAACATCACTGTCGTCACGGAGACCGAGGCTGTCCTGCACTGCTCTGTCCAGGGCGTCCCCTTCCCCACGGTACAGTGGTTCAAAAACAGCCAGCCCCTGCTGGAGGAAGAAGGGCACCTGAGCCTGGAGAACACGGGGCAGCTGCTTGTCTTCAAGTGAGGCAGACCGTTTCTTGTTTTTTAAAAACCTTTTTACCCAAGCTTCGTTGTTTATACATGTGTAGACCAAGGGTGGTGACACTGAGGTACTCTTACGAAGGAGAGAAATTATTGGCAAATATCAACTGGCCAGAGCTTTCTGTGATTATTTGGTTATGTAGATAGTTCATAATCACTACCTTGCATGGTTGGTAGCCCCAGAACTACAGTATCTGTCAATGAGTCTATTTTACAGCAGCTTAGTGTTACAGCATACTACTACTTTATACTAATAATACTACTACTACTAATAATAATAATAATTACAATAACAATAATACAGGTAAATATGGACTCCCCTCCACCACCTCCAATGTGCAGCACATATGTGAGAAGCTGCAAGTCTCACAAGCCCGTCATGCCCAAAAAAACAATTATGGCCAGAAATAACATTTCCAACAAAGGAACAATATCACTCACCCTCTAAACAGCTGCTGAAGCATTGCTTCCCATCAAGCTACTGTCAGAGTTTAGTTTTAAGGCAGGAGAGGAAAGCCACCTTATTTTATACAGACGGTATATTAACCAAGTGACAACGAACAGATGTTTAACGAAGTGCACGAAGAAGGAATGCCAAATGATTTTCCTGGCTTCTTCTGAACAGAAACGTCTCTTTGGAAGATGAAGGATATTATTATTGTGAAGCCAGGAATGGAGTAGACACAGTGACCTCCCAGACTGCTTACCTCCTCCCTGCTGGTATGACTTGAAATGTTCATTCTTTCCATTGCTGTTTGTGTCTTATAATTGTTAGACTGCTGTACTGTAAGAATATACCAAATATAATTTGGCTCATACTATCCTATGAATCATTTTTCCTGTGACCAACTTGACCAAGTGCATACAGCATTTGCTTGAGCCACCAAATTCTTTCTGTATTCCAGTTCAGAAGCCGTCATATTCAGTTTAAACTGCTTTTAAACTTTCTCTATGTTTTGTAATAAATAAACAGACCATTAACAGAAAGCTGCTAACCTGATAAACTTGGTAACTGCTTCTAATGATTAAAACCACATTTATTAACAATGATCAGATTAGTTTCAGATATAAATATGTTGTAAGTGGGCATTAAAACAAGCACCTTAAAAAAAGGCAAAAGATGTGGAAAGACTAAGCCCTGGTTAAAGTCAAACCTCAACCCATCCACTAATCATACATTGTAGACTGGGTGATTGATGGTGGGGTGTCAGAGAGCAGATGGAAGAATCTTCCTGCAAACAATGTCTGGTAGTTTCCTGTTGTTAGGCGGGCTGACATTGTGATTCAATGCAGGCCTCAAAATGTTTTAAAATGCTTTGTAAATCTGGCAAATTGTCTACGATTACATGTTTAGGACAAGGGCACACAATACTGTTTGTTCAAACAAAATGTAACTAATCTCCCTGGAAATAAATATTTGGGTTTGTGCTGAATTTCTGACCCAGTGTTCCTGAACAATAACACTGTAAAACGAATGAGCCGTCACGGAACTGCTCGATCTTTAATATTCCCCGACGCACAGTTTTCCAAAGCAATCAGACCTGCCTCCACGCTCAATGTGTTGAAATAAATATCGAATTAAGACGGTATAGGTAATTACATACATGAATAGGATATAAAAGCTGATTTAATTATTATCACTGTCATTATTATCAAGAGATTTTCGTGTTTTTAAGCTCAAAAGGGTAAAGAGTAGGTTTTACCTCTGACTGTGGCATGAAATCAAAATTTCTGTTTAAGCTATTTATGTTAAAATAGTGTGTGCTTTTTTAAGTACTACAGTAGTCTCCATTACCAGTTGGGATATTAAAACTCTTAGTTTAATTATTGAAGCTCATAATGAAAGATCCTGAGAAGGACAAACCCCTATTCCTGCCACTCTTCTGCTGTCTAGGGTACAAATACAGGGCCTGTCAGCCAGGGGATCCCAGTCCTGGATCTACAGACTCACTAACCTGCCATTCCAGCTGAGCTCTCAGTAACACAATTGAACTCTTAATTGACTTATTAATAGGATTCATTTGAATTGTTTTCAACTCTTCAACATGTCAAAATATACCCTTTAAAGGGGATCTGCAGTCCAAATTTCTCAGACCGCTTATTAAATCTTGGAAACAAAATATATTGATTAATGGACTGAAAAAAAACAGAAATTTTGAATTAAACACAAAACCATGAACTTTGTGAAAGTACTGGAAGTCTCAATGTTGCCACAAAGCTCTGGTCTCACCACGGGCGAGAGCTAGAATTCCCACGAATTATGACGTGATGCGGCCCTTCCTGCTCACTAGTCACTGTAACAATTAATGTAATGTGACATACGAATGATTAAATAGAAGTTGTGCAGCTGACATTTCACCACAGAAAGAGACTACAATTAAGTTCCATTTATCAGGAAAACTGTCTTGAAGACGAGAGCAATGTTTCTGTTTTATTAAAAGCAATGTATCGACCAGCCTGCTTGTTTACAATGCAATAGGGCTGCAACACCCCAACAGAAGTTTCGTTGCCTCGTTCCGAATTGCATGGTGTTGCGCATACATGTAAATTTAATCTATTTTGTGATGGAAATTGCAAGTTACTGTGTCATTTTTTTAAACTTTTATTCTGGTTCGAAGTGCACTCTTCAACGCTGATTCTTTCTAACTCCAAAATATAAAAATAGCCTTGCAGCTCCCCTTTAACCATTTGCATTCTATATAGAAAATAAAATCCCAAACCTGTGAGTAGAAAACAAAAATAATATTCCAATTGAGCATCTTCAGTTTGGTAATTTCAGCACGACTGGGATGAAAACCAGCAGTGTGGGTCCCCTGGACAAGATGGGGATTCCCTGCTCTAGACCACTATAAAACAGTTAATCGTGTTAACACCCCTTCCCCAGTTTCCAGCACTGACACCACCACAGCAACCACAGGGGGCTCCAGCTTTCTCGTCCATAATGCCAGGTAGCCATGCCTCAGCCCAGACCAGTTGAGATCAGCTGCACCAACCTCAATCTAGCCTTCTTCCATGCGAGGTCAAGGGCGTTTGGCAGAACGGTCTCTTCCCATCTTGTTTTTCTGCCCAGTCATGGACTGGAGGTTTGGTCAGCAGCCAGCGAACGTGTCTGCAAGACAGGGAGACTCTGCCACCCTGATCTGCAGGCCCCCACGCAGCAACCCCCCAGCGACAGTCACATGGTTTAAGAACAACAGGATCCTGAACAAGATGCCCCACTTCGTCCTCCTGGACACTGGAGACTTACTTTTTAAGAGGTACCGTACTCAAATTACTGTAAGAATTACCTCTGCTGTTCGCTAACTGGTTGCTAGCTTTTCACGAAATAGCTTTAGCTTACTGATATGTATAAGTGTGTGGATCTCATACTGTACCTTCATAGGTAAATCTAATATTCTCAGCAGTGAATTAATGACTTTTGAATTGGCTTTCTCCTTCCCCCCCTTTTCTTATTTCTTTCTAGGGTCAAGGAAACTGACAGAGGGATCTACTTCTGCAGGGCATCCAACTCCTACTTGTTCAGGGCTATATCTTCTGTAAAAGCGTATCTCAATGTGTTGGGTAAGCTTACTTTCTACAGGTCCCCCGTCAATTAAAATAGAACTGACAACCTGATTTGCTGAGCTATTAGTGCTTTAATCATGGATTTGTCTAAACTATTAAATTAAAGAAACGGCTAACTTTTCTATTAATGAGTGGAGGCAGCTGCATGGGAAAACATAATATCTACAACAGTGGTATTATATCACGTACGTAATATTACAAGTTTTAAAATCTATTTAAAAGTTTTAAACAGAGAAACAGAGAAAAAAAGAACAGTAACATGCTAAACATTTAGTAACACCTCCAGGATGGTGTATGAGTAGGACTATTTGAGTCTTTTTAGTTTTAAGAAAGTAATTCAGACTGAAACCCCTCAGTTTTGTCTGGTCTCTGTTCAAGTTCCCCCTAATGTCACGGTTTCACCTGCAATGACGATGGTGCCTCTTGGGTCAGCGGTGTCCTTCCACTGTCAGGCCTCCGGCAATCCCTCACCGTCCATCGTGTGGTACAAGCAAGGGCAAACTGTGAAGACGGGTGGAAAGATAACAGTTGGGTGAGCTCATTCCCTTGACCGCGCTGGTTTTCAAATGGCGTGTGCCCATGTTGGTAAAGTAACGGTATTGCTCAAGAAATAGCGGCCTTTTAAGCAGGAAGTCCCAGGACAGCCATAGGTGTAACTTTTCCCAGTTCTGGGTTGGGCCCTGTTTCAACAAGGATAAATGAGCTAGGCCACACTGGGTCAGATTCAAATACTTTGTGTAGCACATCTTACTGAATGTGTTAAAGATGACTGGAGTCTTGTTCAAATCCTTCGTACTCTTTAAAATCAGTGTGCTACTTAGGAACCCACTCAAAAGGATAAAGAGGTGGCAGTAAATGTTGTTCACCCCATGATTTCATCTCCTGATGACAGAGGAGAATATTAATTTTATTATTAATGAAACCCCCCTAGCGATTCTCCCGTTGGTGTGGTTAATCCTCTAGGTGCATGTGGTTAAATCGTCATATCCCACCATTGTGATATTTACAGCAAGACTAGGAGTACCCAGTTTCGGGAATGTCAAAAATGTGATCCATATTTATCCGTTTTTTTTTTTTGCAGGTTTAATAATGTGACTCTATACATCTCCTCTTTGAGGGCCTATGATGAAGGCTCTTATACCTGTGAGGCTACGAATATCATTGGGCAATCCCGAATGACAGCAATACTGCAAATAGCAGGTTAAAATAACGTCTGAATAACGTTATATCTACTTGTCTTTGTACTTATATTGAATTATCCTTTATACCGTAATAGCACAAGTGTAACATTTTTACTTTAAGAGACATTTAATGTTGATACACTTTAGGTTGTGACACACATTCCACAATGGAACAGGCTCTCCAGCCTAAACATTGTGCTATCCTCTTTCTCACTTTTCAGCACGCTGAATAGACCTGTAGCATATCTCTCACTGATGTCACAGTGAATCTGCAGGAAACCAGGAAGTCACATGAGTCTCACTAAAAATCTGTTCACTTCTGCTTGTTCCTTTGCTGTGCACACACCAACACAGCTCACCTAATGCCTGTGGGTGGAAGGTTGCTGGTTCGTATCCCACGGCCGGCAGAGGAATACTACTCCATTGGGCCTCTGAGCAAGGCCCTTAACCCCACTGCTCCAGGGGAGCCGTATAAAATGGCTGACCCTGTGGTCTGACCCCAAGCTTCTCTCCCCATCTGTGTGTTTCATAGAGAGCAAGTTGGGGTCTGCGAAAAGACAAATTCCCAATACAAGAAATTATATATGGTCAATAAAGTGATCTCTTAAACAGAAACAGCAGGATCCACTTAAACTCAATGCCCTTTGCTACCTTTTTATTATCTTGACTGTGAAATCATAGCAAGACAAAATACTATTTCCAGGCAATTGCTTGTGTCAAAGGGACTTGTAGGAATAGGCATTATTTGCAATCATTTTCTTATGGTTCCTGTAAATGCAAAACCTAGAAAAATGCACCTTTTAGTTTGCATGTTGTAACATGCAGGGGCTCAGAATGCATCATCCTTCAAAGATTTACTCTAGAAGCCAGTATCCTTCACTCCCAATCAATATTAATGCCTTAAACAGCACAACGTTCCCACAGTGGAGACAGAAATGAGCTCCTCGAAATGGAGCTCCCTTTAGACCCCCCATTGCAGTACATTGAAGCATTCTCAAGTGAGCCTTTCTTATTTTAGAACAACTTCATTGTTCCGGATGCTCTCCGTATGCTGAAGCTCAGCACCGCGGTTTCTGTATAATTACTGGGAGATTATAAATGAAACAGAGCAAAGTTGTTTGTTTCTAACAGCATCAAAGAATAAAAATCAATTAAACCAGGCAGCACGTGTGCAGGGAGAGGGGACTACTGGTGGTTGCAGCTAATTTTAACATGAGATGTATTTCTGAAGTGTTTGTTCCCCTTTTAAACACTTTTAAACACTTTTTAAACACTTTTTGGACACTTCGACAAAAGTACCAGTACAAATACAATTTGAATGTGATTTCATCATGCCACACATTAAATGCCTCAAAGTTAGAAATTGTGGCAGTAATGCAAAACATTTCCTTTTTTATACATGTTCCTTCACTACTGGTCACCACATACATCCAGATCCATGTGCTGAAGGAAAATAGGGAAGGTTATTTGGTTCCACATTGAAAAGAAAAACAAATTGTTGGCTACTCTTTCAACCTCCGTAACCTGCTTAGCTTCTATATAAAGCAGAAGTCACTTTCTTTAAAGAATGTTTGGCAGCCTTTTTATCCAGAAAAGAAAAACACATTAGGGCTCAAATCATCATTGAGAGGCTAGGATTAGTATGTCGTGTGTAGTTGATTCTAGGCACAGTATATTGAGACACACTGTTCATAAGGGGGTATGTATTACGTATATTGTGACGAACTAGTATATTCAGAGGGTGTTTAGAGAGTTTGTAGTGACTCTTAAGCACAGTAATAACCAGAGGAAAAAAAACAAGAACCTCAGGCACAATGGGTACTTGAACGGAGATGAACAGTGATGAAGGTCACTTTAGGCCTGTACTCCGGCTTGTGTCTGGAGCCTGCTGAGTGCCCTCAGGAATGATTGGGATTTCCAAACCTCCCTGTGCCTGAGACCAGTTCTTTATTTCTGTAAAGAAGACTTCCTTGCGCCATGTTGTGTACTCACACAGTCTGCACAGCCCCAGCCTACTCCAGATATCTTGGCCTATACTCAGGCCTGCTACGATATATTTAGAAATCGATAAAGATGAATTAGCAACAAGATCATACTCAATGCATAAGTACAATGCACTGGCAAACCCATATTAGGGTGAAACTGATCAGCGCTTGCTAAATGTCTTCACTGCTTGTCTAACTTTGAGTCTACCAAAAGTGAATACAAATCCGGCTCTGGGAGATCAATAATATGCTTATATGTAGTGCATATTTATATTTATTTGATACTGATTTTTTTAACACTGTGGTTTTTCTTCTTTCATTCTTAGCTCCTCCAGTTATCATCTCTTTTGAGAACGAAATAAATTGCTCAGAAGGAGCAACTGTGGTTTTTCTATGTGAGGCAGTAGGAGATAGACCAATCAGGTATTCCTGGTACAGGAAAGGAAATGAAACACAGATCTCACTGCCGAAAATGGTTATAGACGGTGAGTTCAGCAAGATGGAAATCTGTGAGGCAGATTTATCAATCCTTTTACAGCATGCATCTGTTCTGAGAAACGGAAGTCAAAGTAAAAACAAATATAAGATAATTCCTTTATCTTAACTCTTATGTGACCTTTTCTATGTCTTCATACAAACAGTAAAATCAGATGGAGTTCCTCCCCTGTGTCCCACTGATTCGATTATGATAAACTGCTGCTTAACATAACACTTTCATTTATTCTTAAGATCTCAAAGATCCTTGATTGAAGCCTAGCATGATCTGGGAAGAGCAACTTCTTCCTATTTAACAATAGAAATGTCATGCTCTGCATTAACTCAGAGGTATAGCAGTCTGCTGTATCTTCATACACATGATCCCGAGCTTAATTTTAATGTTCAATTGAAAGCACATTGCATTGTCTACCAAAACCAGCATCATATTGTCTGACAAAGCAGATCTGGCACTTATGCAATCGCATTTATCCAGAAATACCCTCAGTATGGTAAATGAGCTGCAAACAGTCCTTTCAATAGGTATTAGTTGGCACACAAATCAGAGCTACTGCAAAAATAGCATAAAATAATTGGAGACAGCCAAGCAACTCTGAATAAACTACAAACAAGACTGATAAAATGGAGATTCATATTTTCTCAGGTACATAAACATAAAGCTGAAATGCACCGACAGCTGAATATGCTGGTGAACCGAAGAAGTGTGCCACTACTCTGAGTTTACCAGGGGCAGTACGGGTTAAGGCTTTGATTAATTTTCTCAAAAACTCAAAAACCTCACAAGGTTTTAGGCTTTTGCACTTGTGTCTCCCTGCAGAACACGGTTCGCTTCACATTTCTAATGTGAGTCGGAATGATGAAGGTGTGTATCACTGCACTGCAGAGAACAGAGCTGGAAGAGACAGAAAAACCACAGCCCTCATTGTAACTGGTATGTGAGTCACAGAGTACATTGACTAGAGAAGTTGCTCATGCCAAAAAAATGTTGAATAGAAAAGGCTCCAATCTTTACTGTTTGAGCAGTTGCCTGTCAAAATTTTCATAGGTTTTTAATGTGCAGAACGTTGAAAAAAAGTGGTGTATTACCGACACAAGTTGCTTGTAAAATGTACATTTTCTGTATTAGCAAATGAAACAAAGAAATGATTAATAAAATTACAGACAGTTCCCTATTTTCACATTTATTCAGGCAAACGTCACTTCACAAAAGCTGACGATAACAATTACTAGGTATTCAAATGTTTGTTCAGTAAAATTAAAAGGGCCATTGAGAAAGGGGCATAATTTGGAAAAACAATTTCTTACAACTCAGAGATGAACTAATTAGCTTGTTTCAGATACTGAATACCGGCACTACTGTGGTGGCCAGCAGGCTTTCCGTTAATTAGTTTAAATGATAAGACTTAGCACAGCGTTTTACCTGAATTTGAAAAGCTCACCAAGTGTGCTGCATAAGATGAAGGCTGACGGCAAGTTCATCACAGGACACCTACACTGCAACCACAACAAGATTTTTCAGGGCCCAAATAAGCAATTACTGGTCACACTAATAGTCAAAATTGTCAGATACTTGAGAAAAATACGGTAATATAAGTACAGTACTTAAACAGTGGATAAATGAAATTAAATGACAAGGAGATAAAGCTATTGCTTAGTGTATTTTACATAAAATGTCTAGGCAATACATGCATGATGAACATAATACTTAGAATGTATCAAATTGTGTGCAGCTGTCGGTCCAAACTTTAGATAGTGGTGTACTTTGTCCAGATCCTCCATAATTCTAAGATTTCTTGTAGAAATTACTGAATTGTATGGGGACCTTGAGAACACTTTGTTACTCAATTAGATTGCTCAAAACAAATGCAGAAGGATTCTATCATTCTGTTTAAATTAAGGTTTGTGGGTTTTAGAACACCATGCTTCAAGTCAGGATCATCTCAAGTCTTGAGATACTGTACATGACTCTTTCTTACCTTACTTTTACTTTCTTACTTTCTGTGCAAAATTGTCTCCTTGTTGCTGTAAAAAAAGCTGCATTTTTGGAAATGACAATGACGCAGCAAGTGGCAGCGATTGTAAATGTGAACTAATCTAGTCTTACATGAAGTGAAATATCTGAACTACAGGAAATTTTAATCTGATCTGGCCTTGATAATGTGCCCTACATCAGTTTTACGATGTGACATTTCATTTTCTAATCATTTAACTCTCAGAACCTCAGCGCAGAAAGTGGAGCCATGTGGAGTCAATGTGTATGTATATTTATACATAATACATATGTATACACACAAGGAAAAGTCAATAAAAAAAGTGAATTAACCTCCAATTGCACTTCACAGATGGGGAAGAGTGTTTCATTTTTCAGCATCTTTCTCTTGCTCTTCTCAGCCTGAATGCTTGGTGCTCAGTTCCTCATCAACGACTCACTCGTGCTGCAATGATTTCACTCATAACATAGTTGTACAGTAATGCACATATTACTAGACTTACCCTTGAGTATATGCACATAAATACATGCATACATTAAAACTTGGAAGTCAAAAACTGGTATCTCCAGTCTTGGTCCAAGGTCCAAGTCTTGGCTCTTCTGGTATTCAAGCCATTTCAGTTCTCAACTATGTAATTGGTGGAAACAGTAAGGGTTACATACTCGGCATTCAAGCCACTTAAAGCCACCTATAAAACTAAAGGAACAGTGGCTCTCCAAGATCAGTGTTCATGGACCCCTGGGAGGAAATGTGTATGTGTTTGACTAATTCAAAATTTCCTGTTTGAAGCCGGAGACAATCGATCAAGTGCTGAAAAGCGGAACATAGGAAGGGGCTCACCAGTGAGTTTAACGAGAGCAGTCGCTCTCCGGTCATATTCACCAAACCGCAGCGCCATTCTGCCATTGTCATCTCCTTCATGCCCACATGATCTACTGAAGAGGACTCATTTCACAGACCAGCAGTGTGCTTCACATTGTTTGTTGCATGAACATCGCTCCTCGCTAACCCTTTGAACAAAGGTGGGAGGTGGAGGTGGGGCTTCATTGCTGTTCTTTCACAAGCTGCATGTTGAACCGAAGGTTAGAAAAAGAATAAAATGTTAATCCTTCATTTTTAGACCACTTTCTATGTTCCTGTTGATTGCATGTTGTACTTTATTGTTATAAACACATTTGTTTGTTGGGCTGCTCGTAGAGTGTTCATCTAGGCATTGGTAGATGTTCTGTGCACAGAAATCTGCGATGACCAAGTATTTGTACTGTCTTGTAAATGCTCATTGTGCTTGTTTTGTTCATATTCCTGAGGTCACTAACAGCGGCAGTGAAACGAGAAGATATGATGCCCTTTATAACGAGCACAGAGGTGATCAACCACAGGAACGGAATGGAGCCAACTCGACTGCCAAAGCAAGAGGTCTTAATTCCTCGTTGGGGTTGAAAATAAAACATAAGGCAAATTAGAGTTGCTATGACATTTTTAAGAATTTGCTTGTGTATTTCAAGCCCCTTTAAAGCAACAGAAGCTTTTCTTTGATTCCTGTATGGACAAAGAGTATGAAATGTTTGCTGTATTTACTTTATTGAAGGTCTTGGGCCTGTGAGAGACATGCATGGAACTGCTGTGGGGGACCATTTGGTATTGTCATGGCAACCACCAATCTGGGAGGAAGGGCATCCTGATGGTTATAAAATTAGTTACTCCACAGTGCTAACCAGCCCTGCTCCTGCTGTTTCTACATCAGTCACAGAAATGGAACAAAGAGGTATTTCTGGAATAAACTCTAACAACACTGAATCAATGGTTTGATTAGAAGATACTGGAATTAGGTCTGCATTCATTCTTTAAGTCTGGAGACACTATTATTATTTTACTATTATTATCAGATTATTCTGGACTGCAAGAAAGTCAAAATCTGTGAATTCGAATGTATCCCCGTTAAAGGTCATGTGTTGAGCTGCTGAAGAATGGCTTGAAAAGATATTTCGGGGAGAATGGTAAAAATGAAAAGATTTTAAGGCTTGAAAAAATATTACTGGTGACACAGGAAAATTGTGAATAAACTGCACATGAGATCAGCTACTTCATTCTACCACAAGGTGACACTAAATGACACAAAAGAACTGTATTACACAGAAAGATATTCAAAGCATATAACCCAATACGTCTGCGCCAAATTAATGACTTTTCAGATTTCACAAACCTGTTCAAACTGTTCAATTCTGAAAGCTAATGGGAAGGAAATTGTTATCATAAACCCTATGTAAAAAATGAAAGACAGCTAGGTGTTTATTGCTCTTGCAACGCTGTTAAATTATGATCACATATTGCACAAACATTATGCCAGAAATGTGTGGCAGCAGCAATTTATGTTCTGGAGAATATGAGCAATCTCAGAAACCATTTCCCTTATTCTTACTATTCGCACAGCTGATTCAATGTATTGAGAAGTTTGATTTCCCTTTGCTTGGTTGGGTTGTATGATGTAGAATCTGGAGTATTTTCTCTCATTGTTCCGAATAATCTCTTCAGATACAGACTAGCCAGACAGTGGAGTAAGCCATAGAATAAGAAGTTTAGTCAATATCACCAAAAAGGGGACTTTGTGCTAAAACAATCTATTAATTCCATGACTATAAAATACATTAAGGTACTGAAGGTGACCAAAGCTAGCTCCTTAATTGATATAAAAATCCCAAACAAATTTCACAGGGATTTATAGGCAATGAACTCTTACCAGGATTGTATTATTGCCTTTCATTTATGGCCAAACGAGGTCACATCACTGTTATTACTGCCTCAGGCTTTAGCTGGTTCTAGTCTGCAGGATGTTTCTGTATGTCTTCCCCCCAAAATTGACCTGGCAGTATTTGTTTTCACAGGGATGTTAGAGCCTGAATCTAAAGAATATGGGGAAGACCTTTCCAAGCCTCTTGAGCAAAGTGCTTCTGTGTCAACATTTTTTTCCATTACCAAACAAAATGGAGTACTGACGACCGCTGAAACCAACGTGTCCATTCAGGGTCTGTTGCTAGACCAGACATACCTTATTACTGTGGTGCCTTACACTGCAAAGGGAGAGGAAGGGATCCCTTTACAGAGAAACGTCAAAACAGGTATGCAGCACCGGCCTAAAAAAAGACAACAAAATCAAGCACTTTAAAATGAATCTTCGGATTCCCGGGGTATTAAAAGCCACCAGTCTGTCTACAACCTTTTTAAGTGGGTAATATTAAAATGGTTATGAATTAAATATCTCATGTTGTATTTGCTCTTCTGCATAGGTTATGTTGTCATAATATTCAAGCACAAACAAAAACGTTTTGAGAAAGAAAAACTCACAATCTTCCATTGTATAGTCCACAAGTACAACAGAAGAAAGAAATCACTGATAAAATCAAAGGGCTAGCCAGGAGCTACATGTTTCTCTGAAGGTTTTCAAGTCAAGCTGAATTTGCACTGGAGTTGCTCCAGTCTGAGCATCCCTTTCAGATTGCTGTTTCTTCTGTTCCTTTCTGATTTCAGCCTCAGTTCCAAAAGGCAGTGTTACTGTGGCAGAACCATCCCAGCCAGTTCTGAAAACACAGCGTGTTTCATTGACAAGATCTCCTCTGGAGAAGTCCCAGCCATCAGCCAGCTCAGCTCCAGGATCAAGGTTGACTTCATCTGGGCCGATATTACACTTAAAAGTTCCGGACATGGCTAATAACACAATAATTACCTCTGCATTCATGGCCTCCCAGTCAGAAAGCCTTACGTCTGCTGCAGCCGGATCTTCTGACATCATAAGACCAACTGACATAGCTGAGTCTGAAGAGGTAGAGGCTGGTACATCTTTGACATCTCAGTCTGACATGGAGCCCACTGGCCTGTACCTAACTTTGACAGCTGAAGGTACTACAAACCCTTCAGAGTCCTCTGGAACTCACCAAACCCAAGCTGCTAATTCATCCAAATCAGCAAATTCGGAACTGACCGAATGGCCCAAGAAAAATACTTCTCAGTCCCCTATGAAGACCAGTGACGACACGGTCAGGTAGGTCATTGTGGTACGTTCACGTAAAGTAGTGCTCTGAGAGTCCCAATCCACATGCTTAGTAAGTAACCATTGTATCACCAATTTCCATAGTTAGGGAGCAATTTAGTTGCCACAGAATGAAGCGGTATTTTGGTGAAAGTAAGTCCTTTGGAAGAAAAGTCGAATGCCCATCATCACTCAAAGAATAAAGTTGTCTCACTTAAATTACTGGCATAATTAATCAATCAATAACTCAAAAGTGTCAATATCCTTAACAAAAGGAAATTCAGGGAACCTAAGAACCTTACTTGATCAGCCCTTTCCAACTAATATGTCGGTATGCATTGTGGGTCTGTGGGTATCATTTGTCTTCAAATGATAAATAGTCACACACTAATGTGACATCTTAGGGTGGTATTATACAGTCATAAAATTACTCGTTATTTTTCTATAGTCTCTGACAGAGTTTCATTTCTACATTTCCTTGTTGCATGTTGTTTTAAATGGAAGGCTGCATTTTCTGGTACACCCTTAGATTAAAATCTCTCTTTGTTAGATTCAAAATGAAAAATATTGGAAGGAAACTGTCAATATTTGTCTGAGACAACGCTGAAAACATGAGCACATTTTTGTAAGTTACAAAAGGCTGTCAATAACATGAAAAAGACGGCTTATTCAGTTTAAATTAAAAATTATACTAAAATATTTTTTATTTTAATCTATTAAAGGAAGCTCATTTTTATTAAAATTATTTGCTTAATTTTACACTTTGGAGTAAAAGACCTTGTTATTGTTTTTACTGTATAATTTCTCTTAGAATACTGTAACATTGCTCTGCATCAACCCAGCTAGTCTAAAACAAAGGGAAAATAAAGAAAAATCCTTTAAACTAAAGATTAATAACTTTAATAGGATTTTCTTCTCCACCTTAGAATCCAGACAAGTACTGCATATTGTAAATACCCACTGATCAAATAGTGAATAGAGAGATAGAAATAAACCAAGTACCTAGGAAATGTACTGTATTATTTAGGTTGGGGGCACATTCAAAAGGCTCTTGAAGTTTCCATAAAACTGGTAAGATTCTAGGCATATGCATGAATTGGGATTGAGAGCTGTAAAAGAAAAATGTTTAGACTAGGGTGACATAAGCAGTGGAGTCCCACGGGTTTCTGAATTAGGACCTTTTCTATTTCTAATTTATAGCAAAGATCTAGATTCTAATGTAGTTAATAGGCTTAATGTAATTAATATATACCAAAAGAGGACAAAAATCAAACCCAATTTCCTTGGCAGGACAAATATCTGACAGATATCACACACCTGTCAGATGATGAACGTAACAAAAGTGTGAACTTCGACACTGTATACTGGAAGATGGGAAACACTACATGAGGAAGCTGTAAAGATTTAGATTGTTTTAGATAATGTATGCAAACAATAGAAATGACCAAATGTTTGGCTATATCATTAGTAAACCCTCTTTTAAAATACTGCATACTATTTCGGTTGACATTATATGAAAGACATTGCTACACAGGAACTGTCCCACACTGATACAATTAAAAGTCTGATCTTGAATAGAGAAGACAGTAGGCTAAGTGCAGATTTAGTGAAATTGCTATATTTCAGATTTAGAATGGAATGGAACAAACTCAATGGACTAAATGCACGTACAGTATCCTTACTTACTGTATGTTCTTGTGTTCTTGTAACTAGTTGTAGTTTTTTATGCTTATGCATTCTGCCATTTTACATTTTCTCTAGTTCAAGGGGCTTTGATCTGGTTTATTAATGCCAATTTTCAGTGAAGTGCTTCATGCAAACAATAACTCATAATCTGATGTTTAAGTATTGTACAAAATGTGTCAGCCTTCATCAGTTTCTCTGCCTTCTAAAGAACTCTTTGACTGTGACTATCTGTGCGAGAGTCTGTCACTTTTTATCTTCCACTTATGACATTGCTTTAGATTTCCAGGCAGATGCCAGCTTCTCTGAATTTCAAATCATAATCAGTAGTGTAATTCCAGCTGAAAGTGTCACAAGATCCCCTGATAGTGTTAACATTTCTCACTGCCTTTGATGGCATTTAGAAACTAAAGAATCACAACAAACTACTATGAACATCTATTGAAACCTTCAGGTTTTATTTTGCAGTGACTTCAAAACAATATTAGAAAACTCACTTGGTAACTTAAATACTACTAGTTGTCTACCACTGACTTGTAACGCCTTTTTCACACTTTGTTTAGTTTTTTCATCTCTAAATCTCTAAATTACAGAAACCATATTTGTATTACTCCTAACACTGGAATAGTATATATAACAACAATATGTTCCTTATGGGCAAGACATGATGAACTGATTAAATAAAAACCATATGTAAACAGTCTACCTTACATTTTAGAAATAAACATGACTATTTCCTATTTTGAATATGGCTGTTAACTATTTTGGATTTCACGTTAAAGACTCAGTACAACCTGAATGGATTAATTCAAGTACTTGAATTAAAAGGAAAGAGGAGTATTGACATTAGTTATATGTAGCTGTTAGTTAGTGCTGTAATATGTATTCTAGATCAACTATCAGTAAAACTTTACTTGACAGCTGTTGCTGTTGTAAGCAACTTAAAAAGCTCACACACAGCAATTTCAGGAATGTGGTTTTACATCACGAACTACGATCTTGATTACAAATGCCTCTAATAAACCAGATACTATAGTCAACTGTTCTCAGGTTTAGAGAACATAACAGTATCTCCAATAATCATTGCATCACGTCCTCGACAAAAACGCAGCAAATTAATCTTGCAGATAATCTCTGTTGCATTCATATAACACTGAAAATGCAGCCATCATGCAGTTATTAAACATCACACGTTTTAATTTTTTTTCTCCTGCAGTCATGTTTAGTCGCTCTTCAATTACTGTATGGCAGTTGCCTCAATGAAATCTATATTTAGCCATACACCATTACAAAGGAAAACAACAATCTAAATTAGCAATTTGTGGTTTAAAGTGTTAAGAACACAATGCAGAGATGACAGTGTGTCATCTGCAAACTAGATAAAAAAAAAAGCGAAGAGAATACGTTGAGCACAATTTTTAGGACTTGTGCTAATTATCTAACATCCTTGTTTTGTACTTGCAGAGACAAGAAGCAATCTTCTTGGCTCCCAGTGTTGGAGAAGCATGATATCCCCATTGTGGTTGGTGTGGGCATCTCCCTAGCTTTAATTTTTATAACAATGGGCTTTTACTCACTCATCCAGAAGAACGAGCCAACAGAAGCAGGGCGAGGATGTAAGTGCATCCTTAATGAGAGTGGTTTCTACTTAGAAATGTACTTTTTGTTCCTTTTTTGTTGTGAGTATTTAAAAAAAGAACACGCATCCCAGGAGGGGGTTGCAACTTAAGATTTTTAAGTCTCACATTTCCATGTTATTAATTTTAAAGAACAAATATGTCCAGCATGCTGTTCCTTTCCTGGATGCATTGCTTGATTCTACTTTAGGAATGGAGACAAATAATCTGCATGCAAGAACTCCTCTCCAACCCTCTAATGGGTTCATATTTCCCAATCATGCACTGAGCGTGATTTAGGGTAGTCACTTTTTCCCTACACAGAATTGCATTGAATCAAGCAATCCATTGTCCCATCAATCGTAAACAACGAACCCCGAGCTGATCTCCAGTTGGAAGTTGCAGGAAAATGATGGCAAAGTTATCATCCAGCAACACACCTTTGGTGTGTCCAAGATCTAATTGAAATGGAAAGGACTAGAAAATGTTTATATTCTGTATGTAAATTATGCTTAGTATCACTACAGAGTTTGTTTATTGAATCCTTAGTGTATTACGTGTATACAGTGTTCTCCATATCTGTGTCACTGCAATACCTCCAGGTTCAAGAGGTCTCTTTAAAGCAGTATAAGAGCTGCAAGGCTTTCTGCAGTCATAACTGGTGGGTTGCAGCTTCAAGGCGCTGCCGTGGACCCTGATATTGTACCTTGAGGAAGGGACTTTTACCCCAGTTACTCCAGTCCTCCCAGCTGTATAAGTAGTGATCTGCATCGTTGGTGGGTGGCGGCTAATCCTTGTGATTTTTGGCCAACTTGAAACCACAAAGATAAGCAAGGATGAGCTCTGGCTTGTGGTCAACCACCCGATGACCCAATATGGTGAGGACGTGAAAACGACCTACTCGAGAGCTTAGACATAAACACCAAAAAGACGCTTTGACCCTTGAGGTATGAGCGGCGTTAATTTGATCAAATGGAATCATTTGGACAACCGTTTTTTGCTTTTGGTGTGTGATGGGGAAAGTGGGTCTCTCCGCAGTGCTGCGCGGCTCTGGGACCTCCAGCAGGAACAGCAGCAAGCCAGAAACAGGGGCGACATACGAGAACAGGTGGGGCCTCCACAATACCGACTGCACTAGCACCAAATAACTGTCGCATTATCAGCAAGCACGCTTCACTATCTTCCTGCTAAAAAAACTGAAGCAATGCAATGCTACAGGAAACGTCACAAGCTCTTGTCAAGCACTCTACAGAAAACGGCGTTCAACCACTGCTTGCAAATCGAGGGAAAACACACAAAAATCAGATGTGCTTTGCTTTTGTTTCCTGTTAATATTGTTTGATCTAGCTTTCTTCCTACATAAATTGATGAAGATGGTACATTTTTAAAGTTCCACATGAACCAAATGACATGTGACAACACCGAGTGACATTGAAAACTTGTTTTTCTTTTATTTTGTAAATTACTTATTCTATCAAAGAATCCTTTACAATCTTAATGTTCTGGCCACGCTGGCCCTCATCAAGCTGTGGTACAAATTCCACCAGAAATTGCGATCTAGAACTGAGTCACCATTAGTCAACAGATTGACAATTTTGCATCGAAGTTCATAACTTTATTTTAAATATGTTGCATTAATACAATGGACATTGAAAGATAAACATCAAAATATTCCAGCCTGTATTGCTTCCATTTTTTATGTAGATGTGTATGTCTACTGCAGCTTAACAGAGACTGTCATCCCCCAAACCTAAGGTTTCTTTGACTAAAAGTCAAATGAATTAAAGTGCAAATAGTTTATTTTTTAGATTAGTAAAGATCAGCAAGAGTGACAAACTGCTGTGCAACTTGGAAATTCGTCAATCTTTTGTACAGTCTACAGCAAGCAATGTGGGACAGAGGGGTATATCATGCATTCTTAAGCTTCATGATATTTATATGAGGAAAAGTTAAAATATGATTTGCTTTTTTTATATGAACAGGCTTTTCTGAAAAAGGCAATGCCTTGCAAGAGGAATGCAATTGAAGGCACTAAACCGTGATGTTTTTTGCATTAAACCCAGGGCTTTTGAAGATGATAATTCAGTGGGCATTATAGATCAAAGCTCTCATTCATCACCCCAAGCAAGCAGCCAGACGGCTCCCAGCACCGTCACAGTGACGGCCGAATTGTCGCCGGAAGGACAACAGGAAGTCCTGGAAACCATCCTGGAAAATGTGACGGAGTCAGACCACAGCGCATTACTGGGATCTGCTCTGGAACAGGTACATGAAAGAGCCCAAATTTGGAAGGGGCGGGGGGTAGCTTTGTCCTTCACTTTGGATTGCCAATCAAAGAAAAGGTCCAAAAGAATCATCCTGTAGCGCTATAATTTTTTTAATATACAGCGGTGTGAAAAAGTGGGTACCCCCATGAAAAGGTTTGTCTTTTTTTAACATTTTTGGACAAAAGGATATTTGATCGCCTTCTCAACAATACTGATAGACAAAGGTGATCTAATTATAAACATTGAAAAATCACATTTTGCACTCATTTGTACTATTCAAATCAACAGAAATGCAATTTCCTTGTGTGGAAAAGGCTATTACACCCCTACCTTTATCACTGCATCAAATGCCTAAAATTAGAAACCAAAACAGGTGCAAATGACTAGAACATCATTAGAGAGTAACTTGAGGGCACTGTCTTATATAACCATCTGTGTGCTTTGGTCTGGTGTGGTCTTAGTGATTGAGGTGTGTGGCTACATCATGCCAAGTTCAAAAGAGCTCTCTGGGGCCCTCGGAAGAAAGATTGTTGATGCCTAGAAGTCTGGGAAGGGTTTTAAAGCCATTTCCAAGCAATTTGTAGTCAATCATTTAACTGTCCAATAGATCATCTACATAGGAGAAAATTTCAAACCACTGGCAATCTACCCAGGCCAGGTCGTCCCACCAAATTCAGCCCAAGAGCTGACCGAAAGATGCCGCAGGAAGTCTCCAAGAACCCCAGGATAACATCAAGGGATTTACAAGCAAGTCTTGCCTCAGTCAATGACAAAGTGCATGAGTCAACCATCTGAAGGAGACAGCACAACTTTGCCCTACATGTGAGGTTAGGAAGGAAGAAGCCTCTGCTCTCAAAAAAGAATATAGATGCATGACTGGTTTGCCGGACAACGCCTACTGTAGGTGAAGGTCAGGAATATTGGAACAATGTACTCTGGCTGGATGAGACAAAGGTAGAACTGTTCGGCCACAATGCCAGATGTCATGTTTGGCAAAAATCAAAAACTGCCTTTGACCAAAAGAACCTCATACCAACTGTAAAGCATGGTGGAAGCATTATGGTTTGGGGCTGCTTTTCTGCCTCAGGGCCTGTCCAGCTTGCCATCATAGAGTCAACCATGAGTTCTACATTGTACCAGAGAGTACTTGAGGAGAATGTGAGGTCATCTGTCAAAAAGCTGAAGCTGAACTGTAAGTGGACCTTGCAACAAGACAATGACCCAGAACACTCAAGCAAAATAATGGCTTAAAAAAATAAATGGTGGGGTATGGAACGGCCAAGTCAAAGCCCAGATCGTAGCCCCATAGAAATGCTGTGGGGGGACTTGAAGCATGTAGTACATGCAAGAAAGCCCTCAGACATTACACAGTTGAAGGAGTTCTGTAAAGAGGAGTGGGCAAACATTTCTCCAAGTTGATGTAGGAGACTGATAGACAATTACAAGAAACGCCTACAAGCAGTGATTTCTGCCAAAGGGGGCAACACCAGCTGTTGAAGCTCTGGGGGTGTGCTTATTTTTTCCTCAGCAGACAATTGCATTTCTGAGGAGTTTTTTTTTTTGGTTGAAGAAATGATTGCAAAGAATAATTTTCATTGTTATTTGTTAAATTAGATCACCTTTATCTATTAATATGGTTGAAATGAAGATCAAATATCTACTGTATACATGCAAAAATGTTGAAAAACACACATCTTTTCATGGGGTGTACTTTTTCCACAGCACTGTACCTGTAGAATCGCCAACTATTTTTAGGATACCCACCCGATTTGGAATAGACATTGCCTTCACCAGGTCTTCAGTAGAGACTATTGATAGTATATACAGTACTGTACAGGTACCATTGTAACACCAACTTGATACATCAACTTCTTCTATTTTACTGGTTTTGTTTCCGTTTAAAATCAACGCTTGTAATAACCTCTGCTTCTCGTTTTAATGTGAGACCAGGATATGGTGGTTATATGGAAAAATGGCTGCATGTCCCTAGTGGTTCAATTAGTGGAAGCCCTTGCTTACAGTGTACAGTAACATGTGCTTCTACAGTGTAGAGAAAAAGCCTGGGTCACAAAGAAAAAAAGAGCCTCTCCTCTACTTGGTACAAATTCTCCTGTTTTGTCAGGCAGTTCTTGGTAAACCCCCTACTGGGTTCAAGGCTTGTAGTGGTTATCCATGCAGATGAACACCTGGTAATTTCAAATAAACCTAAAACGTTTATTTACAAAAGGCGTGGTTTAGAATATACCTCCACATGCACCTGACCAGGATTCATACTGTCAAATCTCTGTCCACAGCTAGTCACTCTATATAGTTTGTGGTTTCACCTTCAGCAAGAACAGATTTCAGAATTTTACTTCATGTGGTCATCTCTGATTAATTCTCTGTTTTCTACTTTGGCCTTGTTTTTCCCCCCCAATCTGACTATGACTCAGGTCCAAATCAGTCTCTGGGAATGAATGGATGAACGCAATTTGTGCTTCTGAGAGTTTCAGCTGCGTCATCTAAAATGCATTTGTATTTTCATCAGTGTGGGAGAAAATAAACATTTTTAAGTTAAGATTTTAAACACAGCACCAAGATTAATGGTTCATTCGTGGCATGGTTTGTCTAGGAAATGATCTTTTCGGTACCTTCTACCCAACACTTGTATCTCTGCACCCTGGCCCTTGTTACTAAGACACCGTTACAAAACACTAGTTCAGCGGGCGTTTGAAAATAAGCATTGGACGTTAGAAATCAACCTTGCCTTACCGTCGTTTGCAAAAACTTGCAAGTTATATTCTTCCTGGGTTTGCCTTTTTACTACTGTTTTTTTACTGGGCTTTATTATGTCATCACGAGCACATTTCTCCCCGTGTCCTGAAGGAAGCTGAACCGCCCCCTCAGAGCAAGAGAAGCCCCCCGACCCTCCACTCGGACATCAAGCTTCAGAACATAGACGGCTGGGGCAGCAGCCCCTCGCCCAGCAGGCAGGCCGGGGGCGGCGGTAGCGGCAGCAAATTCGGACAAGGCCAGGATGCCGAGCCGGCGCCGCGCCTGGCCGGCCGAGACGACGTCGTGCACACCTCCCTGACGCTGCAGACCACCGAGCCCGGCCCTGGAAGTACCACGCCCACCAGGCACGGGGTCGGACCCGGACCCGGCCCGGCTCCCGTTGTGCTGTCGCACTGCGTTTCGCTCAGCGACAGGGGCGGGCCGGGGATAACCACGGTGGCCGTGGACGTACACTTCTATCCGGCGATGCCTTCCCCTGCCTCTGTCCCCGCACACGGCTCCCCCTCTGTCCACCCGCAGGCTCCTTTCCCAGAGTACGAACAGCAAAGCCCCACGGCGAACTACGGTAGGCATCAGGCCCGACGTAGAGTAGAGTAGTTTATCGCCATACGTACAGTACGCGTACATTGGAATTCGGAATGGCGCTGATCTCTCGGGACGCACACAGTACAACAGACAGCACCACACAATGTAGACAACAGGAACAATATGTAGTAGTGAGACCCAAAAAAACGGTAGACTAAGTAAAACGTGCGTAGTGCAGATGTGTATCAAGGAACTGCAGTTAGCTGGTGAAGATGGGTACTGCAGTGGGATAGAAGCTGTTCTTGGAAGTGTCAGGACCAGCAGGTCAGGAGAAAGTAGAAATACACAGTGTGCTCCATCTTTATGAAAATATATGTCTGATCTCATATATAAGTCTGGATTTATTTTGGTCATTTAGATCCCTTTAAACACCTGTTTTATAATGCTGTGAAAAAGTTTAGTTTTTTTAATAGAGGCTAGAATCAATTTAACAGTGGGCAAACCATGTCCAAAACTCCCCCAAAGTATTATCTAGTTATATCTACAGTGTAACTTTTTTCCCCCCTCCACAAACTCACAGGAGTTCAGAAGAATAACAGGCTAGACTGTATTGAAAGACAGCATTTGTAACGGGGAGTGACAGTAAGATTTGAGATGTGGGTTATTAGATAAAAAATACAGCCGTTACAAAGAAATGCTAAGTCATGAACAAATGATAAACTAGCTCAGTTTCACTGCATATCCTTTTACAGTACATACCCTGTCTGATGTATTTACTGCACGTACCTTATTTGGCCACAGGCACCTCGTGCTGTGATAAACAGGTACTAAATTAGCCTCTTCCTTCACAATGTAAGAAACAGATGATAAATACTGCCTCTGTGCACAGCATAAGGTGCTAACCAGCCTGTTAACCAGCATGTGTTAAAGTATTCTCACACATTCATTACCCAATAAAAAAAACCTTCTAAATTCTGTTATCTCTTATATTCTTAACACAGTGCAAAGGACCTGCCTCTGAAGATGCAGAAAGCGGGAGGAAAATCTGTAGCCAAAAGGTAGAAACGAAAAAGCTGGAAATCCTCATAAATTCAAGCATAAATCAAGATTGGCTGTTCTCTTTAAAGGTCCCACATACAGGACGATCAAGGACCTTCTTGATCAAAGTTGTCATTGCATTATTGTATGATGTTTTCTTTTGCTCTTTATACGAGGTTAAGTGTCTTTATTATCTGTCACCTTTTTACTTTTTCTAGATTGCTTATCTGTCTTCCAGGATGTCGCTGTCTGTAGTTGTAATTTAATTTAATTTAAAATTTTCAGTTTCCTTTTGCCTCCATCTACAATTTGTTGCAGAACGTCTCTGTTTGATCGCCTTCATGATTTAGCTTTTGCAGCAGTTGATATGAATTGTTGTGAACTTCCGTTGCACAGCAAATAGGCACATTTTTTTTCTTTTTTTTTCATTCTAGAAGCAGGTACTAGACATGCGGAGGCTACTTTGCGATTTCAGGAGCCAAATGCAGAGACTTCGACTTGCAAAACAAATACTGCTTCTTTCAATAATCGGGTACAATCTTATAATTTCTGTACTAACATTGCATTTACCATTTTAATCACCGTGTACATTAAAAGCCACTTGTGTAAAACTTTGCTATAGCACTACAAAACAGACTGTTAACTTTTCAACATTGATACCAAAGGGAGATTTATTATAAAGGCATTTTGTTATACTTTCTCTAGCACAGCTAGATAACTGCTTTCTGGACTCTTTAGACCAAGCAAAAAGCAGTTTAAGAAAGTTACTCATAATACAAGTGGTGCAGCTATTGGACCCAAGTCTTATGATCCAGAATCTTTTGAACCTTTTTCCAAATGAATTTTCACTTGCCCCAGAATCGCTAAAGGAAACCAGAGTCAACCTCGTTGCAGCTCAGCGAATGACGAGTGAAATTAAGGAATTGAACAGATTTTTACCTTAAGCTGCTTACATTGGTGTCCATTTCTACAAGTGGGTATTTTGACAGAAGCAAACCGAGTGCCTTGATCAGGGGCTCAGAATTCATGTCCCCACTGGAATTCAAAACCACTTACAAATCCTCAGGTCAAACCACTTATACACACTGCTGGAAATCAACCAAGACCTATATTCATTACAGTTAAATCTGCTGTCCTGCGCAGTAAGCCTCAATCAAACCTCTAGAATGAAATCACAAGATATTTTCCAATTGTGGGAAAATCATGCTACATACCTCCACATTTCTTTACCCCTTACACTGTGGCCTGGCAAGCTTAGGAAACCATTTTCTTCAGTTTTAGGAAGATCCAACACAGTGCCTATTTTCCCTATTTTAGGGAGTAAGACCATGGTGATGAAGTCATCATAATTCTCAGAATTGACAAGCTTGATCTTAGTTGATTTTTGAAAAACAAAGTTTTGGTGGGGCACATATCATGCCAAAAGCAATAATATTTACCAGATGTGGTCAGATAAGCATATGACATTAAGAGCTCTTTGTGTATTGGCAACCACAAAGCGATCCCATTAAAACAGAAGTTCTCAGCCTTCAGCAAAAATACATTGACGTTGACATGTTTCAAGAAATCCCATATTTTAGACCTTCATTCCCAAATCCTGCTGAATCAGAGTGGTAAAAACATCAGTTGATAAAGCACTTAGTCAAGAGGAGCTCAATTGAGGAGAGGCTGAAGTTCTTTGGGTTATACAGCTTTCTTTATATCAACAGCATCTTAAAAGCTGCAAAAGCCTGTTGAACCCTGCCAATTAGGCCAATTATTAGTTTCATTAAGGTGTTAATTACTGAAAATCTATCAGCACCCCAGGTCTTTAAGACCCGAGTAGTGCATCCCAGATTTAATTACAAGTCATGAAACAGAACTTTAAATATTTACATCGAAATAATGACGGAAAAGGTGAATAGCAGACCAAACATGAGTTAGGAAGAAAACATTTTTCAATTAGAAATATTACCTTATAATTTCTTCCGATAGGAAGTTTTTAAAAAAGCAATTACACAATGAAAGGACTGGTCAGAGTGACCAAAATATTGGCTTAGTTCTTTGTGAAGTGTTAGGATTAAATACCATGAACCAATTTTGACTGGCTGCTACTTATCAAACAGAGATCAAAATGGCCACCGTTGAACCTAACAGAATGCAACAAGACTTAATAAATAGGATTAAATGGATGCCCCAGCAGCAGAAGAAAGCTGCATTGGTTTCATCCTTCAAAATCTGAACCATTATGTGCCAAATTAAACTTGTCTGAGAAACCCATACACTTCATTATCATTTTGGATAAATATTGTAGCAGAAATGAACATGCCACCATCTTTGGAAGAAAATAGATCCATCTGAGCATCTCCTGTTCAACAGCACAGCAGGTGGACCCAAAACACACAAAAATACCCATAGTGCATTGAAGGGAACTTGAGAGAGAAAACTGGAGTCATTCTGATAGCAGGTTTAGAAAGGATTTCCTTATAAACTGCAGTATTAGTCTTTGTAGTTAATAGGAGGAAATTCTTAATTCCTCAGTGTTGAGGAAATCACACACGCAGCTTTACTCTGTCAGCAGTAAAGCTAAAAACCAAGGCTAAAAATAAACGCAGACAACTCTCCGACAAACTTTCAAAACCTTACCTTTGCAATCATTTTTTTGGCATCAAGCGTCTCCCTCTTGAAACAAAAATTGTTCCTTTCCCCAAAGTGCCCTGCTTCCAAGCCAAAAGTACACACTGCTGGAAGCCAGTCTACATGGAGACTGAACAATACTCACATTAATAGTATTCTAGCACAATAGCGGTAACAGTTTTCAATCAGTTTTCCATGTTGACAGAGAAACCCAGTAGAGTATCAGCAGGACTATTTATACAGGCTCTTTTCTTTGGCATAAGAAATAATGTATTACAGTGTAAACAAGAGTTCATGCATCAAAAAGTTTCTAAATTACAGCTGGAGGGAGGCAGGCTGCCAATACAGTCTAGGCTAGACTGAAATGCTGTGGATATCTGGAATTTCCAGTCCTGATCCTGCAGAACTCAAATGTCAGAGGGTTTCTGTCCCAACTGGACTGCCAGATGCAGAATCTTTTTACTTTCTGATCCAAACAAAAAAGTTGAAAAGTTGCTTACGCATGTTCAGTGTAAGCAGAAAATTGATAAGTGTTTATGTTGTACCTCAGATCTGAATATTCTACTCTTCCTCACAGACGAAGGAGGAATTGGGTCACAAAAAAATGGCCTCTTTCATTGCTCAAAAGCTCTTGATGAATTTCAGTTTCAGGGTTGTTTTTTTTTGAAACAACAAAGCTGATTTCCTGTTTAAAACGAAAATAATCCACAGCAGGAACTAAGCAATTTTTAATACCCTCTTCCCAGGTGCATGACTGATGTGCTTGAAATGAACTAGGCCTGTTTTTTATAAACTTAAAAAAACATGCTGCTACTACACGTAAAAGGAGGAAAAAAGAAAAGCTGTTGCGTGCAAACACTAGGAAAAAATTACCATGCGCTTAATGTGCTTTAGTTACCTAATGAAGGAAATTTAGTTTTCTTCATTATCTTTACAAGAGAGCATGCTTGTAACATCTTGCGAAATTAAGGATGCCTCACAGCTTGCGACAAGCTCCTTCTCTACCGAGAGCAAACATGAATACCTCTTACACCTCCGTTATAAACGTTGAAAGGGATTTTAATGTAGAGACTTGTACCATTTCATGTCCATAATGTTACATATCTGATGTACAGTATAAGTGTGCATGTATTTCTTTAAAAAAAAGCAGTTACACTAGTTGGAAATACAGTACATTCTGAATGCGGTTTTCCCCCTCCATTTTTAAGTTTAAAAATGTGAAGTGCTCTTGTCTGCTTGCTAAATGTGAAAAACTGTATGGAATAACAGCTGCTTCTAAATGAGATCTGTGAAACTAAATAAAGATGTTAATGATAAATGAATGAGTATTGTTAGTTTCTTTTGAGAACTCCGAGAATTGCTACCAAGAACAATTACTCCATTCCCCCCCACCCACTCTAATCGATAGATGGCATATAGTGTAGCAGTACATATTATAAGCAATGCCTACCTCACACACACCACAAAAATCTTTATTAGGAACTTTATCAAAAGCCTTCTGAAAATCTAAGTTATATTCAAATAGCTCTAAGAAATTATAGTAGGTAGCTGCATCATGTATAAGCTCCAAAGGAACAGGTTTATTCCATGCTGAAAGGAAAAGAGAAATGTCTTGGCTTCTTCAGGTGTGAGGGAGAGAGGTTTATGAAAGAGGCCTTTACCCGTTTCTTTGCTCCAAGAAGTTATGCCTACCTAAAAAGCAAAATGTAGTCGTTGCAGATCTGGGATCATCCAATACTGTTTGACTGTCTGCAAATTAAATCTGGGGAGGTGTACAGCTACTGTAAATCAGATTTTTAAAAAAGGGAAGACTACACTGCTCAAACTCCTCCAGTTAGAAAAACAGTTGTGAGAGTTTCCCTGGCAATGGAATCGATTGACAAATACTGTAGAGGAGCGCTCAACCAGTCAGGCCTTACTCTACTCGACTCACAAGGTGAGATTTAAGATAATGCTTCATCAACAGGCAGCCAAGAGAGGGAGTGTGGCCTTTAAAAACAAGTAGAAACAGTCAAGAATTCCTATTTGGATCTCTTGCATGCAATAACCAAGAACACCGAACAGTGGACAGGAAGCACTTCCTGCCTGAGTATTTGTGCCTCCCAAATTGCTAACCAAGGGCATTTGTGCAACCCGAATATCAAAATCTGATGCACCAAAAAAAAATCCCATGGGGTTTATGAAAAGAAAAATTGACCAAGATTTGCCAAATGCGCGGTTTCAAAAGTGTCAAGTGGGGTTTCTCTGAAATTCTCAGCTTTAAAATGGCTTAAAAAAAAAGTCAAAAATCAAAAGCAGGGGAAAAAAAAAATTCTCACATGATCCCATCTGGTTTGACAAATTTTAAGATGAAACTTTTAATTTTATGGCCAACACTTCAGTCATACAGGTAAACATTTACTGTCGTGTTAAGCGAGTGCTGGCTTGATTCCTCGTCGAAAATGCCAAGTGTCAAATAATTCAGGTTAGTCTGAAAGTTACTAAAACACTTGTAGAAAATTGAACTGGAGCCCTGTTTTGAATTTAAGACTCCTCCTCAGCTCTTAAAGTTCTCGAATCCCCCGATTTTGATCTTGAAAACCGGCACTGGTCTACGGGTTGCCAAGACACTGGTGATGGGTGCATCTATTTCCCCACTCCAGGTTACCCATTGAGAAAGCAAACCATACATGGCAAAAGTATTAAAAACACGAAACCTAAATATAGCAAAAAGGCAAATCCAGTGTTTAATGGGATACTGCGGACAGAACATTAAATCAGGTCTTTACAATCATTTTTCATTCAAAAGGCAGCCTTCAGAGACGTTACATAAAGCTAATGTGAAGTTAAAGCTCCGTGGATGGTTTCTTCGTTTTTCCAGAGTCATCCAAATCCGTTTCAGGAACATGAAAAGCAACGTATGGACACGTTTTGGCGTTTAAGCAGACCAGTTTCTCAAGAGTAGCCGAGTTCACAATGTCGAAACCTGTTTGCCCTCCAAATGTACTTGGCTTCCAGTACTCAGGGGAACAAATTGGATTTCCCAGAAGGCCTTTAAGAGAAAAGGGAGCTCCCATTTCCACCATACTTTCCCCAAAAATCGCATCGGGCCGAGTTTTTTCTAGCATCAGCCCGGGATAGAATTCCAGTGCGTCAATGTCTCCATATAACTCCTCCAGTTCTTTCGCAACCTGTGCATCACCTAAGAGATTTGGTATAGAGACAAAAAACAGTTATACTGCAGTGTTCTGCTGCTTATTTATTTCAGTGTTTAAATGAGAAGTGTGTCTATAGTTTTGTTGCTCATAACTCCACAACTAGTCTAATCCCCAACATAGCAAAGTAGTTATACAAAAGAAATTAGGCACAGTCAATTACTCAGCAGGATTTGTAATGAAAGCAATGAATGGATTAAAATTAAAGATCAGTTAACTATACACATCTGCCATTTTTCCCCACATTCCAAGTAAAACAGGATATGAAAGATTTATTGTTCACCAACCAAAGCCCAGTTCTGAAGTCTTTCACTTAAAGATTGGTGCACTACTCCTGGAAACAACACAGTAACAGAACATTCAGTTTCCACATGTGTAGGACATGCTAAACATATGAATGTTTAGCTATTAGGAATGACTTGCAGTAATCAATCTCCATAGGGCAAAAAGGCGATCATTTGAAATATCCAAGATGATTACATTTGGTAAAACATACAGATTTGCAACCATTTTTACTAAAACAATGGGCAATCTGCCTCCTACTTTACGATTTAAGTTCACAACCAATACCGGCAAAACATTAAATAGAAATAGAGGCAAAAGAGAGCAATATGCCTACCCTCTAATTGAGACTAAACTTCCCAATTATTGCATTTCTGCAGAGCTTGTAGCACATCAAGAGATGGATTAGCAGCTAATTCCTCATTGGCTGTGTATGTAAAAAGGAACGAGTCTCAATCTAAAAGCAAACTGGATGCATTGGAATGCTCCTCCGCATTCGTTTACCACTTAACTAGGATGGGCTCCCCTCCCCTCCACAGCTATCATGGGCGAATCAAGGACGATCTGGAAGGAGCTCTCACCTGTGAACTCGGAGAAGGATTCGTAGGGCTTCAAGTGAAACCTCTTCCTGTACTCGTTAAAAGGCTGCAGCCTCAGAAGCCGGGACTCTTCAATGACCCCTACAGCTACATGCCTTACAGAAGGGTGAATGTTCCGTCCTCCTCCTATCTGCAAAACAATTCAACACTGGCTTATGAATTCCAGAATGAAAGTCAATTTACCAGACTACAAAAGAATTTCCAAACAGAATTCATAATGATCGGAACCAATCTGTAACCCTTATTCATGTGTTGAGCTCTGCTGTGAAAGACTTATGACCGCCTTCAATACCTACCTGAACTACGCAAGTGCAGATGCTTTAGAGTGGAGTTAAAACTTAAAGGGAGCTCCCCTTTACCAGAAGCAGCAAAACCTGCTGCCAACTAGGGGGCCTCCATGAAACACACCCCTACTCCAACCAGCCCTAACTCTCCAAAAGGCATGATTTGAGATTCGCCGTGTTAAGAGATGACCGACACTGCAAGGCGAGTGTCAGAGGAGCAGGTCTCTTGAGAGAGGCACAGAACCTGCAGGTAAACCACAATTAGCAGCACCAAATTCTAACACATTATTTCCATCTCATTTGGAATAGCATTTGCAGTTGGAGGAAGGTTTCATGAGCTGTAGTAGTATTCAATTTCAATTAAAAAATAAGAGCAAAAATCAAAAGAGGATTACCTGGCCAGCTATTTGTTTAGAAAAAGATTCCACAAGTGTTTCCACTCCATAGGTGAAGAGAATGGAGGTGTTGAAGAGAAAGTCTTTGTAGGTAATCTCCTCTCCTTTGATTTGAAAACTGTCTGGCATCAGAGGGTGCCAGTGATACAAGTGGTTGAACTCCACAGCAATTCTGTTTCTGTACTGGAACTGATCACCAAACAGGAGCTCGGGGTCAAACTTCAGCTTCAAGTGGTAGCCACTCAGGTGCTGGACATACTCTTCAATCACGATCTTAATGGTCTCCCCTGAAAAATGGCACAAATAAGGGTTTTTATTGACTAGAATAACTTCACAAGCATATGGTAGTATTTTACCATGTACTCTGCCCTATAATCCGACATTTCATCCACTTCCAGCCTCAAAACTCTCAGGATGAGAGGAAAGAACCAGAGACAAAACTAAGACTGCAGAAAAATGACAGTTTAGAAAGCTTTAAGAAACAAAATCTGATTAAAAGCCCCCCAAAAAGGATTTTTGAAATCCCAATAGATGCTTACACTTAACTTATTTGGTTCCCCTTTTCCATATTACAGACTAGCACATCAATCACCAATAAGGTTTCTCCCTCCTTTGTGCAGTCTACCTACATCTTAAACTAGTACAATAACGAAATACATCATCCTCATTCATGTACAGATATTAAGACTAGCCAAATAGGTTGAATGGCCACATTTCTAACGTTTCAGATTCTAAGCTTATAAGCCCTTCTCAATTACAAAGCAAGGTTCATGTCCACGATCGGACGTCCCTGTAAGCTACCCTTGAGTAAGTTCGTCAATTTCCATGGGTCTCCAGTGAGATGAAAAAGACACTGTAACAGAAGTGACCAAATACTATTTCACACCCTTGTGTCCATTTAGTATGTCAGGCTAAACCATCAGTGGCGTGATCATTAGCACTCATGCATTCATGGGGTTTTTCGCCAGGTGCTTTAGCTTTCTTCCATCTCCCAAAGACGGGCTGGGTTAGGTTTCATTGAGACGCTAGACTGTCCCTTTCAAGAGGGGATTGTCCAACAGTAATGGCTGAAGAAACGGAAGCAAATGAGAACAACCGGCTGAATCCCTCCTCTCATTCATGGCCAATCTGATGTTTAGCTGATTAATCAGAGAACCAGGATTCCCAACATGCAACATTCCGAAACGCAGGCTTTTAGACCGGGGGGATGTCAGGACTTGACGAAACTGCTTTATGCAGCTTTTAGGGGGGGGGGGGGGGGGGGGGCGAGCTATGCCACTACAAATACCGGTTGAAGTCGCCAACAACACATCGTCTCCGCACAAGTTCAACTTGCTCGGAAAAAGATGGCAGATTTTATCCCTTAAATAGTGGGTAACTTGCAGGACTACATTACTGGTAAGGACAGCCTCCACACCAATGTTTGGTAAAGTGGCAAGACCGAGGTGGCCAAGAGCTGGCAGCACGCACCAATGATGATGAGACGAGCCGTCTGGAATAGCTGCTCGTCGCTCCAGGTGGGGTGCTCCTTCTTCAGAATGTCACACACCCGGTTGTGCTCCCTCAGCCAGATGGTGGCGTACATCAGCAGCCCTGGGAGCAAGCCGAAGACCTCCTGCCCAATAGCTATCTGCTTGTCCGCGGGAACAATGGATGGGTAGCTCATGTTGACCTGGGCCTCCGTCGTGCTCGGTGGGTACATCTCTCCCTTGATTACCTGGAAGAGGGAGAGAATATGCCCGAAGTGAGGCCCGCACTGGAAAATTCCAAACCAGAAGAGAGAAAACCGACACTGGGAGCAGGCTCAACAAATGAAATGCTGTTCCCCTCGCCACTATTCCTCTGGAGACCAAAATAATTTAGTTAACATTTGCCTGTTGGGGTCAAAACAAGACTATAAATATACTGTATTTACACAGTTTACCTATATTGATCTTGTATTACCAAATTCCCACCTTTTTGTGGCCTGTTTGCATGCCTCAGTATTTAATAGCAACACGTTTAATAGTATTAAAGAAAAGGCCCCAAAATCAAAAGTTCAGCTGGAGAGGAGTTTTCAGTTTTTCTTGCAGGTACAACAGGCGGGGCATTGCAATATGAACATCTGTTAACTCCATTGGTTGGGCTGTAAAGCTTTTAGAGGTTTTAAATATTGACCTTAAAATTAGCACTGGCACATCTAAATATTTAGCCTTTCGTAAAAGCTGAAAGACTTCAAATGCTGAAGAAGCCTCTCAAGAAGAGAAGAAAAATAGTTTCAGTGTCAAATTCCATCAATACAATTTTAAAAGATGACCCACTTTTATGCCAAGAGTAAAAACAGACATGGATATCTCATTTCACCTAGAAAGGCATCTCAGATAGAAAATGCTTCATGTCATTGTTAGTACGTACTGGGCTGTACAAGGAAAGGCGAATAGTCAGAAGTACTTCCATAACTCACTTTAAAATCTAGCCAAAAGAAATACTGACTGGTACAACTCTGTACCATACTGTATATGTGCTGGTAATCACCCAGCAAACATTTCACTATACAGCATGTCCTTTCCACAAAACGGATACAAACATGCCCTTACCTGATATTTCAACTTTCCATCTTTATGAAGCCTGAGCCCTTGTTGACGTGCCAAGTTATCCCCATAAATGTGGCCCCCGTCCACCTGAGAACAGAATAACCCAGGTCAGTAGTGAGGTTTTTGTAGATGCACAAATCTGATGCAATCCACATTCCACCGAATAATACATGATAAAGAGGCAGGAAGATTATCTGCATTTCTTCCATCTCAAAGAGGCTAATCTTTATGATGATTCATTCTCCCACATACAGTACATATGGACAATTCATAGCCCGACATCTTGCAAGCAGTATATTTTTTTATTAAAACAGGATGCCAGTTCATATTCAACTGCTTTTTAAAATGCTGATTTTCAGTTATTTTTTTGGAAACCCAAAAGGTTCGGTCCCTTGATCAAACGCGAAGGCAGCTACTCGAGTGGAAACGCACCCCATGCCCCAGGGCTTTGGTGAAGCCCCGTCCCAGTCGGTTGTGGGTCTTAAAAAACTGGTGAGTGAAGTGCTGAGCGAAAAACGCAAACATCAGGCTGGTTTTTTGCGGGTCAGGAATGAACTTTTTTCTCAACAGGAACCGATCCACTATGATCTCGGGATCTGGGAGTTCAGCCTTTCCTAAAAGGAAAAACAATTGGGTATGTCAGTTTCAGATTTAGTTGCACATTCCTTTTTCACTCATCCCCCATGGCTAAAATACAAGCACCCTACCTGACAGCCCCTTGTCTGCTCAACCAGCACCATTAGGGTGTGAGTTTTAACTCACCTTGAAAGGGTCAGCATTTTGATTGAAAGCAGGCTAACTGGACTGCATTTTTGCGTCGCTAGCAACTGAAGTTCTGGAACATGTCATGACCGGTAGCATCCAAAAGACTTTGAATCCTTAAGGAGCCGTAACCTTGGAACATTCCTCCTCTGAAAATAAGACAACTTAATAGAACCCACCCCCTACAAAAATAAACTGTAAGGAAGGAGGCTTATGCAATTCAAGGAAAGTCTCAACCTTCACATGTATGAATCTAATGACACTTAGCTACTGTATATATTTTTAAGGGAAAGTGCTCTAAACAGATGTATCCTGGGATTACATTTTTTTTGTGCGACTGTAGTATAGTACCAAATTGGGTCTGAGGTTTTTCTGCCCTTTACTCAGATTTCTTGTGAGGAACCATGCAATACAGTCAGGAGATTTTACTTCCCTTAAAACCAAGATGAAAGACTACAGTACGCACTATAGTACCATTTGCCAAGAAGAATACAATGCATAACATTTATTGCATGAATTGAAGCATGCACAGCAACAGATCACAATGGTGCCATATGGTAGTTAAACGTAAGAAAGGACTTCATGCATATACTTCTCCAAAAACAGTTTAGAGCTTAAAAATCAGTTACATTGAACACTTCTGTTATTCTACACCTTTTGGAGCACTTTCCTTCAAAGCACTGGCGAAGACAATCATAGCAGATATGCAAACGTTAGTTTTTGCCAGAGAGACCAGACTACAGATCTAATCGTGTGCAAACAGATTTCAGTTGCAGATACTAGATTATAAACAAGCAGATCTGAAAACTGCAGCGTCAGGAAAAAGAAGATCTTAATCAAGAACTCTTCACCCCACAGATTGCTTTCAACGAAAAAGGCAACGTTTACTGCAGCCAAGTGAAAGTTTAAATAAGCTATGAAAGACAGTCTATTGTCTGAAGGTTTAAAGATCTAAGAAATCAAAATGATTCTGAGATTGTTAGAACAGTCCTGCTTCAGTTTAATATAAATTTTACAATTTAGTATAAGGTTAGGTAACGGGTAAAACTTCAATGAAATGAATCCTGCAACGTGTACAGCCTTACTGACAGATATTACCTTCCTCTAAGCATCCTGCAGGACTGAAATGGAGTTTTATGCTAAACACTCTTTAGTATGAGCAATCATTCGGTGAGCTTTTGTATGTAGTGACTTGAATAAAAAGTAAACTTGTGCCATTATTGCATATATATTAAGCAGTGATCAAAACTTTCAAAGCTGCAAAACACCTCTGAGAAACCTTAACCAAAGATTTCAAACAAGTGTTCAGTAGACTGGGGCCTGTGATTGTCCTCGTCACATTTGGTAAACGGACTTCCTGCATACAAAAAATATTTCTGAATAGTGAAGTGAATTTCTGAAGAAGCTGTTCCGTCTAGACAGAATTGAGCAGTTTTATGGGCATTTAGCTCTAAGCAGTTCTGCCACACCAAGAGTTTGAAAGCAACTTTGAGATCCTTTCTGGTAACATAGTTCTCACAAATACCTCAAAACACAATGTGGTATTTTTTCACATGTCAAGACTCATTACATTTCCGTTTCCAGTTGAAGCTTTATTGTAGCTGGACACCAGAGTAGCGATATCCTTTATTTCCACCTAGAATACCCTTGTTGTATACCTGATGGGTGATTAGTGCCAGAAAAAAGCCGACCCGCACATCGCAAATTAGGATGTTTTGACATTTTGATGTTCCATTTTGCCAACCAGAGCTGTATTAGCATTTGTTTTTTAAAGAATACTAGATACAAATTGAGGGATTATTAACAAGATTAAGGGGGTGTGCGCCAAAACAAATCCAGCTAGTTAATCTGCGAGTCAAACAATGTATTTAATTGACCAGATTTGGCATCTTCTGGTACCCTAATAAAACTAAAACCTGGGCTTTTGGAAAATTGAACTTCATTTTAAAATTCCTCTTAGAACAACTACAAAATTCAAATGGGGGAGAAGGAAGAGACCACAGTGCTCTTCACTTTTATAGCAATGGCAACGTGTAGGATATCCTGCACCAGTACCTCCAGCGTCGATGCGAGATGGGTTAAAACCAGTTAAGCTTCTTTCCAAAAGAAGTGACCAGGTCACACCTCGGAGTGAACTCCTTCACTCGCTGAACCATCAAAGAGATGAAGCAATTGCATTCAATCCAACCAGTACCCTTAAAAGGGCTTGGAAAAAACACCTGTCCTCTACTCACGGTCCCCATGACTAAATCAGACTTTTGGTGACTGTGCTTTTTCCGTCACTGCTCCAGTGTTGTGGAATGACCTTCCTCAGAATTTAACTCTTCAAATCCAAACTCAAAAACGTAGCTTTTTACCAAGGTCTGTCCAACTGCCTACATCAGTAAAAACCTGTATGCTCTTGTTCATGTTCTTTATTTTGTACTGCCTTGCCCGAATGTGCCTCAATCAGCCACTATCAGTTGGCAAGACTGCAGCCATCCCAGTATGCATCTATACAGTTCAGTTGTGCAAACAGAGGCTTTTCTAGGATCAAGCAAGTGACAGCCTGCACATATTCAAGGAGGTACTCTTGACCTTTTTCCATTTGGCATAGTAGAAATGGAAGTCCACCATCCCCAAAAGGCACCCTTTAATGCTTAATGACTACATGCCTGGTATGGATTCCCAACTCTGGGGCAGGTTCCACAATAAAGCAGAAATGACGTTTTAATAGGCAGTAATAAAATCGATCCTGCCGCTAAAAATTGAAATCCACAGAAATGGGCATTTTTGCAGTTTATGCAGGACTGGGATTTAGAGCGGCCACATGACCGTACAGCCTTCCTCCTTTTTCCCAGTAACTTAAGGAAAAGGGGTCTACACCCCCAGACCACAGCTTGCATTCAAGCTACCTTACCTTTGGTCCCCATTGGCGTTGGGCAATCCACAGGCACAGGAGGCAGCAACCGTGTGTAGTACGTCACATTCGAATACGCCTCCCAGCTGATGTAGTCATATTTCGAGTTGTACGTCGGAGGGCTGGGGATCAGGTTGGCTCTCACTTTAAAAAAAAAGAAATTGTGAAGAACCACTGTAAGTTCTGCATTGCAATAGAATACAACTTTTTTATAAATCTGTAGTTCTAGATCTATTACAACCTTATGTAGGATATAGGTACAGTTGTATGTAAAACAAAGGTCTTGAACAGGTTCCAGTAAAAATTCAGACCAAAGAGGATGCTTCAAAACCATGGTCAAAAGAACAATTTAAAATTGGCATTGGGGTAAAAGCTTAACTGTTTAATTAAATGAAAGGGCCCTATAATGCTTAGCTTTTCTTACACATTCCTGTTGTTAGCTGTCATGGGAGACTAATGACGCAGTCTGGTATATATTGAGGCAAGGTCATGATTAAGAATTAAATTACCTGTATCAATTCAGAAGACTGGTACTTGAAAGTAACAACCATTAGTAGGCGTTTTGGCTTAACTCACTTCTAAGCTGGTTTCCTGACCGATTATGCTCTCTAGATAAAACATGGTACCCTCACCAAAGTTCACCAAATGGGCATTATGTTGATACGGATCTTGTTTTGCAAAATTAACTGAATCCACAACCTTATCTCGAAGAGGAAAAGATTAAGTTACAATGCAAAAAAAAACTAGAAAAAAGCTAGCTTCAGTAGCTTTTGATATTTATTCCCTCAATTTACAGTAGTTCTCAAGATGCAAGGGGGATCTCCAAAACCTACAAATAAGCTGAAACCACAGTAATGACAAGATCTTTTTGCTACATGCATTTGACAAGGTCTTGAACAAATGTTTTTTGTAAATCTGTACAATTTACACTTACAGACTCTACATTCTCACACGCTGAGCCTCCTCTCCTTATTTCATGAATTATGTTTTTAAGAAGCACCAGCCTTCTTCCACACCAAATGGATCATTAATATGGGTAAAGCACGATTTCCCAGGATTCATTTGTTTTCCCATACTGCCCTCATCTGCAATTTCCCTCACAGGATCAATCAAGTACAGTATCTATCATCACTAAAGCAACTCCTTAGCTCTTAACCTAGAGGACAGCTGGAATCGGTCATCTTTTGTGATCAGTTCTTAAGCCATCCCAGTTAACTACATAAAATCTGTAACTCAAATGCTTACTCATTAAACCACTAAATACTAAGGACAACTTGAAAGATTATTTTAAATGAGCACAGACCACTTCAAATCACACATGTACAGTATAACCTTCAGGAAATAGTGCTCACTCCCTTTATAAACACTGAAGAAAATGTAAGAAGCACTTTGAGTTTAAAGGGTTTGATTACCTGCATTGTAACTACAGTATAAAACATTAAAAATGGTAATGCACTTTTATCAGGACACGCCTCTTCAGGAATGACTAATCTGCTGCTTATTCGGACAACTAGGGGAATTCCCTAAAACTGCCATATTTAAAGTGATAAATTGGCAACCGACGAAGAACATCTTGTCTGGCATTTTATCCAATAGTTATTCAGACTTCAAACAGTGCTGTTATTCGACCAAATTCAAGTTATTCAGATGGCAGGTGGACTTGCTCTGAACAAAACTTGTCACCAGTTTCAGAAATAATTAACCAAGCCACAAAAATTAAGCTGTTCATTCACAAACATTTCCAATACATAGACTGCTATGGTCCCGTTTAAATTTGCGTGACTTACCTTTAAGTCTGTACCCCTTTTTCTTAAGGAACCCATAGCCAATTCCAAGCAGGTTGACAGCCTCCCCACACCTACATTGAAAGCTTTAGGTTTCCTATAATGTATAGCACTCCTGTGCACCCTACCACAATGACTTGCTTACTTCAATACATATTAAATCAAATTGGTCTATTTGTTTTTATGGAAGCAAATGGTAGGAAAAAGAACATGCATGTTTAGTTATCAATGTGTTTGCACATTTACAGTACATACAACTAAAAAAAGCACTGCTGTACTCAACTGATCTATACCCAATAAACTGCACACATTAAAATCACATCCATAGGTTTTAAAGAAAAGCACTGGACTAAACCTGGATTTCCGGTTGAAGAGTTGAGCAGTCCAGAAGGTATTTCTCCACTGACCCCCCCCATCTGCTTCAGCAATATACTCTACCTACCAGCTGAGCAAATGAGTAACAGGATACATGTAGAAAGATTCTCACTCATTCATTTAAAGTCACTGTAATCCCTAGTAGTTTATTAAATTAATCTGAAATCCTTATAGAAGCATTTTACTGCATATTATTGTAACAATTTAATATGCTACTGTATACAGACAATTTCATAAACCCTTTAATATTGATTTCTTAATCCCCCCTCCAGATTTTTAATAGCTTTACTCACTTGTGAAAAGCCAAGAAATCATTTTTTTGCACAGAAAAGGTGTTGGCAATAAAGACTCATGAAATTACATGGAACCCTCCAGAATTCTGACTGGTACTTTCGCAGAAAGGGACAACGCTCAGCTCCAGAGAGCCAGAACACAGGGAGTTAAGCGACATCTGGAGTGAAAAGGCAGTGCTGGCTTGAAAGATAAAAAGAATCATAAAATGGAAGGAAGTTGTAAAAAAAAAAAAGGGAGGGGGATATATCATAGACAACCGAGACAGGAAACTCATATGCCTGTAATAACATGTGGCTCTGTGGATCCACTTTCTCCTTGAGCACATACAGTAGGACTGTTTCCTTTTCTTTAAATGAACCACCACAGAAAATTATGAACTAAATGTTCTATCTCAAAGTGCGTGCTAAAATACAACTGCAGTTTCTGGCTAAACAAGGAAAATATTGGTAAAAAAAAAAAACAAGTTCAAAGTTGTCAGAGTCTCCTTTCTTGCTTGCTTGCTTTCTCATAGTCTCCCTGTAACAGGAAGGCCCTACTTCCTAAAAGGCCTGGAGAGCATCCCACTGCTACAAACTCACTATGGGGACATTTCTGAAATTGAGCTGGTTCTCACAGTAAAGAGAAATGTTATGCAAGATAAATCTTTGTTCCAGTTCATGTCTGGGCAGGTGATGTAATCCACGTTCAAGAAACAAATACAGAATTAAAATGTGTGCCGAGAGTATAGAGGTCTGACTGTTGATACCTGCAGTGTACCCGATGACTACATCTTGGAGACAGGCCAGCTATGAGTCTCCGATACGCTCTGCCATAGAAGAGTACTAATATTATATAGATATAATCCAAGGGCATTTGTGAGCTGCATTACCCAGACAGTTCATGCATATCATCCAAGCAAAAAACATACTGCATACATACAGTACATCTCTGCTTCTGAAACTGAAAAAAGATACCACCTTTTTTAAAAAAAATCCATGATGTATGCAGAAAGCAATTACACAAACATATAAATGGAATTCTAGAAGTGGAATTTAAGAACTCACCAAAGGGCTGCATTTATATACAAGATTAGCAGATGGTATAATCCTGACCTAGTAACCATGCACCACTTCAAACAACCACAGCTAGCTGAAAAATGCTTACTATGAAGAAACATTTCATAGACTAGCAGGGGGGAAACAGCATAGTAATGACCTAAAACAACTGTTTTCTGCAGAAAACCAAAACCAGTTAATCTTCCTTATTTTAGCAACCGAAATAAAAAAAAACTGATGATGCCAGCAGGTATTTGAGGAGATACATGGACAGCATCTGCCCTAGGTAATATTGTGTACGAAATTAGAATAACTAGATGCATCCGTCAACTTCTGAATCATTACTTGTCGGTCATGTAAGAACAAGGCGATTCTTTCATTTCTCTTGCACAACTGACCTGCAATATAACCAGCTTGTTTTCTTGAGGACTTAAATGTCAATTGAAACCAAACAGTGGAAACCAAGGAGGAGAATGCATCTTTTGGAAGTTTGATTTGCAATTAGTCAACAGCCTCATGCACAGCATATGAGCTGAGTAAGTCTCGACTCTAAAAAGAGAGCACAAGAATAATTAATTCTGAAGTTATATAGGTTAGGTGATAGCATACATCACTAAAATACTGCAGGAAGAACAACAAAGCGATCTGCAATACGATGAAGAATGAGTTTTCCTAAACATGCACACACATTTGTAGCATGTGAGCTCAAATGTAAATTTGTGCAATGACATCTTCATTTTTTTTAAATCTCGGCTGTTTTAGCGACTTTAGGGCTATAATATAAAAGTGATATGGTTCATATCTGTATTTAAGTATGGAGGAGGCATTCTACAGTTAAAAATTCAGCCCGAGACTAAGGACTCAAAGCATTTTTTGTAAATGCTACAATTATCTTGCATTACAATTACAATATAGTTATAGCACTTTGGAAGCAAACCCGGGCAGTGGAGGTCAGGGTTATCTGACTTCCCCTATACATCCTTAAGTTCTTCCCAGTAACTTCCCAGAAAGTTCAGCACTTCTGATAACACTCATACGTTGGCTTTTCGCTGCTCCCACAATAAAATGGCCCAGCACTTCAAAAACCTCTAACCTAGTTCAAGCTGTACTGTGTGGTGTAGATCAGACATGCAGCGGAGTTGTGCTCTTAATTACATGCAATCCAGATGTTCCAGAGAGTCTCCCCAATTCTAATGGATTTTAGGAAACTAGAAAGGTCCTTTAACAAATAAGCTCTTGCCATTGGCTTCTTGTTAGGGTCAGGGCAGACCTCAAAATTATTTTGAGATCAGGCACCTGTCTATTAAATGGAGCTGATTAATGTATACAAGTCATCCACTTGGATCACAGAATGCAGATCTTGTTCCACACTTTAATTTAAAAAACAGTTGGCGGTAAAGCCTTTAGCTACAGGGCTCCTAGTTTAAGGAATAGTCTGCCAGCCTACATAAGGGATGCCGGTCAATCTCAGGATTTAAATCCCGACAGCAAACCTATTACTTCAGCCTAGCCTACTCACACCTTACATCATAGCCCATTGTAACTGGCTGCTGGTGCTGCTGTACATGCTATTGCGCCTCAGTGTTGGCCCACCAGGTAGATACATCTGTTCTGACCAAACTATCCTATTCTCCTCCCCACATGCCCAGATGGGGAACCACTGCAATGGGACCAAGAAGGACATCACAAACCCAGCTATCACTTAGGAGGATTTGCTGGTCTACAGTGAACTGCATGGAGTAATGGCACACAGAAGGACAGGATGGAAAACTTAATACTCCACACTTAGTACTTTGTTTTCCAATTGTATAATCATAGCATGCCCAGAGAGGCCGGGCAGCCAGTTGACCTCGGAACCCTAGAGGTTTATTTGTTTCCCTTCCTCCATTGTCTTCTTGCTTTTTCTCTCTTTCTGAATTGTAATGTCATATACCATCACACAGCTTTGTTAAGTGCCCTGGGCCAACCTTGTTGTGAAAGGCGCTATATAAAAATAAATTGAAATACATGAATGAAGCCTGCTTGCTCATGTTATGACACTTCACTTTCAGAATTGCTGGTCTACTCCTGCAGACTCACTCACAATAGACTTGCAAGCAGGGTATCCAAACGTTTTGTAGTCTGTCCTGTGGGAAAGACCCTCCAAGACTATTAGACAAAAGCTCTAACTACCCTGCTAGGACACCAAAATCTTAAGAACTCACTAGTTATTTTACAAGTCTTGCTTAGCAAGATAACCAAAAATACCAGAAAAAGCATTTTGGAATATTTTGTGAGCAGGCTTTAGTGGTTTTACCTTCCCATGAAAGGATTATAGGTTTGGTCCTAGACTGCCAAACTTGGCAATTAGATACCATTTTAGAAGTTTGAAATTGCTAAGTAATGCATTACTGTATGGCACAGAAGGATAAAATAGCTCCTTATTGCAATTTGCCCTTGCTTTGGTCCCCAAAAGAGAACACTTACTGTAACTGATCAGAGTGCTTGTGTGGAGATTAAAAAGAAGAAACCATTTCTTCTCAGCACATTTCACAGTAAGTTTTACATTTCCCTCTTTTTGTTGCTTAAGAGGATGAGACTCTCAAACCACAAACAGGAGGCGCACAGTGTCTACATGACACTTCAGAGAAACCCTACACCTCAATCAGGGGGTGTCCAGATTTTCAAGGGGTCATTTATTTGTTGACAATATAACGGCTAGCACTTAAGAGATCAACATAACCTTTCGCCCCATGGATCTTAAGGACTAGGTTTGGGATACCCAACTACAGACCTCAAGAGTTGAAAGAGTCCAATTTGGCAACAAGAATGTACAGAACAAACCTTCCACAGATTCTCAGGCCACAGACAGACGCCCGCCTCGGATTTCACTGACCTGTGAGAACTTTGCGCATGAGTGTGTCCCTGATGAAGGTTTTGTTGATGATGTTCCAGACCCACTTAAAATGGGTCAAGATGTAGTGAACCACATCCGGGCCGGGGCGCAGGAATTCATGTATTCTTGTCCAAAACTCCGCTGGGGGGGAAAGAAAAAATGAAAGTCAGTGTGACTTCTGTAAAGTAGAGACATTTGCTGAAGTAGGACCTATATCTATACTGCACATCCCCAGCAATACTGTACATTACTACTGAACCACTGTGGAAGGTATTCGAGTAATTGCTGTGATCGGTTACTTTAGCCTTTGCCAAAAGGTATAGCAAGACAGAATAAAGGTTAGATGCTGGAGCTGTAAAAGCAAGTGATTTCCTTCTACAAGGCGTTAAGAACAGAAATAAATCACATAATAGGATGCTAAACACCTTTCACATAAGGAAAGACAGGACAACCACTCACAAATAGATCATAAAGCCTGACAAACATTTCATTGCGCAAAAGGGCAGATCTGGGACCCTCTGCAGTTTGTCGATTCCGTGGGGCAGACCCAGCACACGTTGCTGTCCTCATGGATCTCAAAACTGAATCGACAAAGAATTTCCCACAAAAATTTGGCTTTTGCTTTCATTTCATGTAGCACTGGTTTGTTCTAATAAAGAAAAAACCGTTGGCAAGTATCAGTTTGTTTTGTCCAGTGCAGTTAGTCAATTTATACTTCACAACAGTACAATGGAGATGTGAAGAGTGCCTATAGGAAATAGGCAATCCATCCATCCATTTTCTAGACAACTTCCAACACAGGGTCACAGGGGAGCCAGAGCCTATAATAATAATTGCTTACACTTATATAGCGCTTTTCTGGACACTCCACTCAAAGCACTTTACAGGTAATGGGGATCCCCTCCACCACCACCAATGTGCAGCATCCACCTGGATGATGCAACGGCAGCCATAGTGCGCCAGAACGCTCACCACACATCAGCTCTCAGTGGGGAGGAGAGCAAAGTAATGAAGCCAATTCATAGATGGGGATTATTAGGAGGCCATGATTGGTAAGGGCCAATGGGAAATTTGGCCAGGACGCCAGGGTTACACCCCTACTCTTTTCGATAAATGCCCTGGGATTTTTTAATGACCACAGAGACCTCGGTTTTACGTCTCATCCGAAGGACAGCGCCCGTTTACAGTATAGTGTCCCCGTCACTATACTGGGGCATTAGGACCCACATGGACCACAGGGGCCCCCTGCTGGCGCCACTAACACCTCTTCCAGCAGCAACCTTAGTTTTTCCCCAGGAGGTCTCCCATCCAGGTACTGACCAGGTACTGACCAGGCTCACACCTGCTGAGCTTCAGTGGGCTGCCAGTTGTGAGTTGCAGGGTGATATGGCTGCTGCTATCCCAGCAAGCAACAAACAAGGCAGGATACAGCATGGGTGGGACGCCAGTCCATCACTGGGCACACAGACACTCAAGAGTCTGTTTTCACTGAAACAATTGATCTACGAGCATGTCTTTGGACTATGGGGAGAACAAACCCACAGACGGCACCTGAGCACCCCAGCTCTGTGAGGCAATAACCTTAATCACCATGCCTTCACTTCATGAACTTGATGTTTGTGACACTGTTATAGAACAGTGGCTGACTTGCAGACAGACTATGGTCCCAATAAAAGAAGTTAATCACTGTGCCACTGGGGGGAAAAAAAAGCAATATCAATTTTTTCAGTTTATATTCAATACTTCAGGAGGTATAATATTAGGTGAAAAATGGGTTGGAGTATTTTGACCATTGCAGCCTTCAAGGACTGAAATTACCCACTCCAGTGTGGCATGTATAAACAAATGTAACATACCGTACAAAACCCAGCTTGAACTTGTAATAAAGAGGCTTGGAATTAATTCAAGATTTTGAATATGATGGGATCATCTCTTCCAGGACTCAACAGGTATTCCTTTTCCTGTACATTCTTAAATCCTAATGGCATCATAATCCATCCATTGAGCTCTGCTCTTTTAACTGGCAAGGCTGAATGGGGTCTTCAATGGGTATCCCCACCGGTGTTTACCTCATTTATACTTAAATTTAATGACCTCAATATTTGTAAGTTTGCTTTGGCATTTTAATATTTTAATGCTTTACATTTTAACATCGTAACTTGAGAAGAGTACTACAATTTTAAAAAAGCAGACAATCCGCTTTATTTTTCTAAGCTGATTGTCTTTATTAAGCCACAGCCCATGACATCCGTAATCATATCATTAACCGAGTGTACCTCATCGTGCGGAGGTCTGATTTGTTTTTTTTGTCAAATATCCTTTTCTTATTGCTTAAGACCGAGTTGTGTAACCCTACTTCTGGGAACAAGAGGGGGCAAGTTTGCCTGTAGTCAAGTTAAAAATATAAAAAGAACCTCACCGAAAGTCATACAGGGAAGTGAATGGAAAACATGTTCAGCACATTTAAAAGATAGTTGTCTTGGTAGGAAAGCAACTTGAAAGAAATGCTCAGGATTTTGTTCAAAAGTAGCTTTAGAGATTATTTTTGCGAGCTGCTTATTTCTACCTTGCAGCTCTTTACTGGGTATTTCAATCAAGGAATCACCCCAGAAGCACCACTCCTGCTTAAAGCAAGCCAGACCAAACTCTGCATTAACCTGAACAATTCAGAAGTCTCTCTCAATTAAAAGTTGTTCTTGGATACTGGTGGCGAGTTGGGTTTCGAGATTTGGCTGCCAAAGCAAATAATGGAGATGCTGCTTATTAAATAAAAGAGTTGGGTTCAAATGCCTTCACAAACTTTTTTTTCTTAAGAGAAGTGGGCACTTTGGCTTATGGGGAGAACTCCCACTGCCAGTTACACTTTTTGGGGGCAGGGGTTATCAGATGGCTCTCTGCATAAATCTATGCATTAGCATTTTCCCTGATATTACCAGTAGTGCTCAGCCTATTGTAAATCCCATTCAAATAGTTTTAAGATTTATTCAACTTTACACCAAGGAGAGACCTACCAGTAAACACCACCAACTACCATCCATTCAATTTAGACTCACTTGTTCATGACCGTGTCGAACTTCGAAGATCACAAAATTGAAGTGACTGAGAAAAAGGTGAACAGATGAGTAAGAGCTATGTGGGCGATTATCTGAGTAGTCAATGATTCTTGCATCCGACAGTTTATAATCACATCCAGAGGTGTGGTCTTGCATTCCAACCTCTTGAGCTTGGCAATTAAGACTTGGTTTCTTGGCACCTTAAATTGAGATACTTCCAAGTAATTTTAAAGCTTTTTTTCCCCAGCGCCAATAATAGAAGACCATTACAAATCAGCTTTTACACCACTGCCAGATGCTGGTTTTCAGATTTAACAACCCCCCCACCAAAGCCCGTGAGGAATTTAAAATTTCCCCTAAAAAAAAAGTCCACAAAATCAAAACTGGTGGGGGCTGGTGGGACCGTGAAGTGCAATAGGGCGTCAACACCTGCGAATATTCGAGACTGTCTGACCGACAGGGTTTTATATAAACGAAGAGTAGAGTGGGATGAAACGGAGACAAAAGTTAACCACAACTACCAAATTAGTGGTAGCATGATGTTCTTTTTTTTTGTATTGTTAAAAACACCAATGGAACTAGGAGTAGTGTGAAGAAACAGGCCAAGAGGCCTTTACAGGCTCACTGACCATTTTGTTGCCCTTTTCCTTACTGCAGGGCATGCTAATCACTGAAGCAGAGTGAAAGAAAGTGCCAGAATCCAGAAGGAGTTTGCTGTGATGCAGTTTCATGTGAAACTGCAACCCCAAAACAGACTCTAGAACTGAGGTGGACACCGGCCAAAATTCAACTCCTGAAATGGAAGAAGCACATTTTGTGCCACGAATAATGAATCCTGGACACCTCCAAGGTGCAGTCTGTAGTATTTTTTCTTCATTCACATAAAGGTTAAAACTGTTTACCTCAACTTTTGCCAAATTTATAACTCCAATTCAAAGTGGGGCATCATTTAAACATTAAGTTGATAATGTCAGGCACAAAATGATCCCTTGATCATTTATCTTTAGAACATCTTTAGTTGTAAATAGCAGAGATCTTTCACAAACAGGTGCAACCTTGGATATTACAAACTCGGAAGGTAGTCAAACCACAACTGGTGCAAAGGAAATGGTTAAGATTCTTTCAGCTCTTGGAAATGAATGGAGGGAAGGAAAGGAAATTGAAAAACAACAAGATGGCATCTGCGTGTATTAAAGAAGCATGCAGTAAGAACAGCAACCATTTTTAGAATAAACCAGTAAAATACTCACGAATTGTGCAGTTTACACCGTAGTAGCCAGTCCGAGTGCAATCACATTCATATTTGTCCAAGCCGAATCTTACGCACACCCCTTTGTTTTGGCATGGATAGGAGCAGCAGGGATTTACTGCAACAAAAAGTTAAGTACATGAGAAACTTCAGTAAGTTACAACTGACAACTCTAAGGGAAAACGAGAGGATCTGAGCTTATCTAAAGTACTTTTAATAACTAGGCCTATTTTTCCCCCAGAAGTGGAAAATCGTCACCTGAAAACCAAAGGGAATCATTTGGTCCAATTCCCTTTACTTTTCAGTCAGCCATAGTTGTGTTGTCAGAAGCTGCAGCCTTCTGTTATGTAAGCATATTATCCATATGACAACATGCGCCACATCACCAGAATGCCAGACTTGAAAGAGCTGAGGTTAAACCTGGAGTCACTCGTTACATGGAAAGAAGTATACGTATATACACAGACTTGGTGTACCTATGACGCATTTCCACTTTCCCTCAACAATTCACTGCTTTACCCCCTCAGTAAGAAACCACACAGTAATGCCTTCTGAAGTCCTGACGAGCCCACGGTTTTTCCAAATCATTCAGACCTAGTTACAGCTCATTAACCAGAGAATGAAACCCAAGAGGACCGATCATCATTCCTAAACCATCAAAATGAAAAACAATCTACGTAAAACAGTCTTTCCTTTTGATTCACAGGGGATTCTTAGAATTACACAATCTTCCTATTCACGAATGAGATAGTACCCCCAATAAACAATTTCCATTCTCTGAGGATTTACACGGTCTACTAAACTAAGAAGTAGAACAAAGGCAAGGTGAATGTTCAAAACCTATAAACCCATCACCAAATCAGTACTTTGCTTTGTCAAACTTCCATCCTGCTCCATACGTCGTCATGAAGGACAGCATAGTTAAATCTGGAACAAGTCCATTTCAACAACAAGTGTTACTTACAGAAACTAAGCAAGGCTGGGCCTAGTTAATAACAGGACAGGAGAGCTCTAAGATGGACCAGTAGGTGGCACCCTTCCTTCTATACCAGAATGTGCAACCCCCCCCCGACCCCCAGAAGTGACCACCAATGATTGTATCAGGTGCCGTCCTTCGGATTAAAAGGTCCGAACTACAACTGGTTTATGAGTTGGCTATAAAGCTACAATTTCTGTACTGCACAGGATGAACAAAAACAAAACCGAGCACAAATACTCTTCCAATATGCCTAACTGTCATTCATTCAGCAAACACAGTTTACAAGAGAAGAAGTGCTGACTGGAGTGGTTGCTACTGGTTTTCATGATCCTGGCAAATTGAAGTTACTTGTCAAAAACTACCCCCGTTATGCTCCAATTGGGAGTTGCATGATTCACGCTTGATCCTATATTCTGGAGCATTGATCTCAGCTACTCAGGAGCTCCAGTGCTAAAAGAACAAACCAGTGCAGTGCTCCGAATTCCAAGCAGCGTAGCTCTCAGATGCTTTTCCTGAATTGAGGCCAGGAAAAGTCTGCAGTTCCAAACAATTAAAATTTGGTTTCTTGGCCACGTTCCACAATGCTGGTTGGTGGAGCGGGGGAGTAAACACCATCATAAATTAGGTCACACATTAAAAAAAAAGGAGTTTGGAAGCCCTGGTCTGCCAACAGAAGGAATGGGCACCTATGCACGGAATATCAACCTTGAATTGAGTGGTGGATATGCTTACAACAGATGCAGTGTAGCCAAACCAATATTTACATTCAGCTGATAAAACCAACAAGCCAATAGCACTGGTGGTCATCTATCCGCTGAGTTAGGTTATGAGCTGCGTTTTCTCATGCACACATTTTTAGAACAAGTAACAAGAACACACCGTGCAGCACTTCAAGTGTATACTTGTTGATATTGCAAAAGAGCCCGTCTTTGTTTTGTCCAGTTCTTACCTGCCAAGCAGAATATTCCCTGCTGCTAATTGCATTTACATTGTTTTAGCATGAAAATAGTAGCATCAGGTCTTCTGTGCAAACCCTCCCAAAACTGAACCAGCAGGAAATGTCTGAATGACCTTTCAAGCAGACCACATCAACTCCCTTCTAGGATGCATTTGACCTCCCTGTACCCAGCATTAACTTTTTTTTTTTAAAAGGTCTTTGAACAGACCATGAACATGAGCCCTAAAAAAAACAGCTGTGGAACAAAACAGAAGACCTGTCTTTTGTAAGACAGTATGTTCCTCAAGGAACTATGAGGGAGTTCAAGGGATCTACCGATTCTTTTTCTGGGCAAGTTGTCAAGGCAGGCCCTCTTTTCAAGATAATGTAGCTCTTTGCTACATACTGTAAGCTGGCCAGAAAAAACAGACTTCATTGATGTCATAAGTAGTATGAATAGGAAAACCATGTTTTCCTGTAAGAGTAGACACCCGTCTAGCTAGCCTTTCCAAATCAACAGCTATATTTCAAAGCTTCAATATTACCAGCTACATCAAAAAGGGAAGATCGAGGAGCTTGTTAGAGCAGAACTTGACAATGTGGACTGGAAGGGCTGCAAGGTTTTAAGGCCTTTTTTAAATATTTCTTTACAAGGGGGACAGAAAGAGTGGGAAGATAGAACCACATTGATGTGAAGCAGACCAAGCTCTCATTTGAATTCTCTCAGATCACCGATTTAGTAGAAAGCTAGGAAAAACTGGCACTACACACTCACATATAAACAATGGAAAGCAGTCTTGCTAGAACATTTCTCAGATGAATCACAGTTAAACACGCTATGGATAAAGTTATTTGAAAGAACGGAAGATTTGTGAAAACTTCAACAAAGGACTACATGCGTTCAATCACTTCACAACTCCTTGTGATTTCAATATTAATTGATCATAAACACTACCTTATCTAACAGACAGAAGGATGCAAAACCCACCATCTCTGGCATTCACTTGAGCATTTTCTTATTTGAACTACAGTAGCAGCTATCTCCGTCAACAAGATCAGAAAAGCTGTAATTAGCTATATACTTCCGGATGGTTTAATCATCTGGACTGCTTGTCAGATTCTGAAGAAAGATGACAGAATTGATATTTCAGGTCTTGTGCTCCTACATTTGAATTTCCAGCTCACTGCAGGAAAAATGTATGCAAAACAAAAGAATAAGTGAGTGCATGGTATGACACAGTATTCTGCCATAAAAAGGCCCATGAGTCATTTTGAATGGATCACTTTAATGAGCGCAATAAGTACACCTGACACACTCTAACAGGAGACTCCAGCTAAGAAATGTTACTGCTGCAAATGGAGCCCAAATCCGATGACGCACAGTGTGAAATCAGTGTCCCATTCATCTAGCTACCACCAGCTTCTAGGAAATTCTAGTGAAGTTATTGGGGGGTACATGTGCATACAATAAAAAAAAGACTAAAGTCTTGGGGGAAAGAGACCCATTAAATATAACAAGCATATTTGTGAAGCCTGAATACTTTTCCAGCCAATAATGTACAGAAGTCCCACTCTGACAACAGTTGTTAAATGGCTGTGTCCAACTGGTACAGTCTTAGAAAACTCCAGAATGCAGCAACAGGGCGTTCCAGTGGTGGATGAAGAGAGATTGTCTATTACCCTGAACGTCCTTGAGCTCTGTCCTTCACAGGAGAAAATAAATTGGGGTCTCATTGCAAATTCTGCAACATACATCCTATGCCTGTATGAATCTATAGATTACAAAACATGAAAAGGTTAAAAACACCTTGTTTTATAAGAGGATGACAAGTTATTTTCCAATACTGAAGAAAACATCTCACACGAAGCTTATTACCAACAGCTGCAGCATTCTTTTAGTATAGCACGGAAAAGGACAAACCTACGCAAGACAAAGGCAACATCACCATTCCTTTACAAGGTACAACCAGTTTTAACGCATCTAGTTCATAAAATGAGGAATTTACAGGGTGCATGGCAATACTGCAGGAGACTTTTTTTTTTATATATTGGCAACGTCTCTAGAGACAATCCAAAGGAAGATTTTTGTTCCTCCCCAGAACCATACAGACTTTGACAAAAGCATAAAAAAAAAATATATCAAGCCACATTACATTCTGAACCCAAACATACTGTACAGTAGTAAAGCTGCAACTGAAGTTCCCAAAGATACTTGAGAGCTCTTATGGGTGTGTGAGGGGAGGGAGGCTGATGTTAAATAGGAATCTGTAAGATCAAGCCTCGTGTCAAGCATGGAGTACTACTTAATGCAATCTGCCGATTAAGCTCCTAAACATCTAACTACTGGAAGAAAGTTCACACTGGCAAAAGTATCATATTCTCATAAAAAAAAGCTGCAGGAACCATTTTCAACTCAAAAAGTCATGCTATGCTATGTACTTACTTCTTTTATGAGGTTGCTTTAAGGGGGCACTAAGCTTCCTTGTTCCCTCTCAAAATAAGTGAAAATTAAGGAAGAGTGTACCAGTAATTTTAATTTAGATGTTAGCCATGTGCAACGGCTTTAAGACAAAGCAAGTCGGTCATGCAGAAGAAAAGCTTTCCTGATATTTAACCCTCATGTCAAATAAATTAATTTCACAAAGAATATGCGGATACTGTAAGGCAAAGGAAAAAATCTATTAGCAGTGATTTGGAGTTCTGACAGTTTTAAAAAAAAGCAGAACATACTGTAAATCCAATTTCATTGACTTGTTTTGGTTAAGAGATTTGATTGACTTTGCAGACAGCTGTTAAACACTGACAAAACTTCCACAGCCCACTTAAACTATTTTAACTATTTCGCCAACCTAAAACCCAGATGTTCCAACACTCAATTACAAAAGGAACAAAGAATTTCCAGAAGGATTCTATGGAGATCTAAATCCTATAAAAACTTTTTGTAAGAAAAGAGAACAAATGCTGAAATATCTCAGTTGCCCCTCTGAGCTCTGAAACTATACAAGAGAGGTACTGAAACATACAGCACACAGTATTTTATGTGCAAACCAATGTCAAGCAAGAGTACTTAAAATATGAACTTTAGAGAGTTTATGTAATGGTTACACATTCTAACTATTCAAAAAAATGGGCCCACAAGACCCATCAACAAACAGTGCCAAGTCTAAAATACCAGATCATGCAGGCTTATTCACTTGGGACAATATTGAACTCGCTGTGACTGTTGCTTGGTGACCAACATCCCTAATTATTTGATGTGACCCATGTGTGGTTAAAAGGAAAGCAGAAGAGCCCTTGTAATTGCAAGACTAAAAAGGAAATATTCCAATATGGTTCCTTTTGCAGATTCACCAATGGTGCTGGACAAGTGCAACTTCAGCTGCTGTGGGATGGAAAAATGATATTGGCCACAGACCTCATGGAGCTTGTATCTTGACAGGCTGACCTATACACGAGGCAGAGAAGTTCAATATGGAATGATAAACCTGAGACTACAGAGTTCTCGGAGGTGATGCCTACTGAGAAAAGTCTTGGTTCCTTTATCGGTTCCAAATTGTGCAAGCTCAGCTATCGGTGTAACCATGACAAATAAGGTTTGAAATCTGAACTAAATAATCCCATGCCACCCAAATGATTACACAAAGAGGTGAGCTCATTGGAGTTACAGACTCAAAGGGATACGCAACCAAGCTGATTTTTTATGCTATGGAATGTAGCGTTTCCCCCCCGCAATACTTAGGGTTGCTTAATCATTGGGCTGAAAGCAAAATATATTTTTTGGTTCAAACAGGATCAAACATATGCATGGAATTAAACAAAAATTTCGCAACTATACATACTTATCTCACCCTCACTAATATACGTTTCCTGACGCAACACAAAAATACTGCCAAGTAAAAAAAAAATAGATTAAAACAGCAAGTGGGTCACAGTGATGCAAAGTCACAATGTGCAGTATTTAAGAAGGTATTAAAGTAAATGCACATTCGTTGTGGGGTCTCTGTCCAAAAGACATCGTATTGATTCCAAAGAGAATTTGGGGATTTGCAGACCCAGTTCTTGGAGAGCCCTGCATCTCTTTGATATTTAGCTGTTGGACAACTCTAACAGGTGAAGCAAAGGAAGACTTTGCGAACAATACACCATCTGCTAAGCGAAATGAGCTTTAAACCATATTGCAGGGGTACTGTAGAAACCGTTAAGGAACACATATTCCATTACTACTGTGGAAAAAAAAACCTGAACACGTTTCTCCTGTGCTAAAAATCCTGTACTGGCTATCAGTCTCTTGCAGGGTAAGACTTTAAAAATTACCTAAAGCAGGCAATTTCCATCAGTGTCCAGTGCAGAGTGCTGAATTAATGCATTTATAACATCAAGACTTGATTTTTGCAACTCTTTACTAGGCAGGAGCTCCCAGCCCTGGAGACACACGCACCTGCTGGTTTTCACTCAAGCTGAACTTAATTACCCCAATTAAAACCCTAATGGAATTAATAAGACGCTTGATGGAGACATTTTCAGGTATTTTATTTCTCCTCCCCACCCCCCAACTCAAGAGCTTGGGATTGGATTTTAATGAGGGAATGCAATAGTTAAGAGTCTGCCTCCTGTAGGTTTAAAACCTGAAAACAGTCACGCTGTTCAAATTAAGCCCGTTATTAAGTCAATTACAAATTCAACAGAGTAACTGAATGACAACTTGGCTGGAACAAAAACCTGACGGGTGTCTGCTCTATGGGCTCCCCCAAAACTCCTCTGCAAGTTACAATATGCCCAAAACCCTACAGCTAAGCTTCTAACTCACACAAGACCTTGGCAGCATATCACTCCTACACTGAAGTCACTATATTGGTCGCCTATTAAGTTACCTATTCAATACAAGATGTTACTTAAGCCTTTTAAGGCTTTAATCTGGCTCCATCATACATCTCCCTTCATGTGTGAACTCTCTCGTAGGCTCTGGTCGGTTGAGACTGGTCATTTGCTTACTGTACCCAGGACTAAAATCTTGGAACTTTTGATGACCACATTTTGCCTGTTGCTGCTGCTTTGCTATGGCACGCCCTTCCCCAAACTCCTATGACACTCGTCAAACCCAAACTCATCTCTTTATTAGGGCCTAGGTCTGACTGATCTCCATTCTATCTGCATGAACCTTCTCCCCCCTCCCCTCCACTTTTTAATGTACTTTATCACTATGTACGGCGTCCCTGGACTATTGCAGGGACAGTCTCCCAAATACCTTCAAAAGTGACTGGGGGTCGGCCCACACACCCCATCTGCCTCACTTCATTTCATTGGGTCCAGAAGCTCCATCTTCTACTCACTTTGACCAATTTAGAGTTGCAGGGGAGACTGAGCCTATCCCAGCGAGCAACAGGTGCAAGGCAGGATACAGCAATCCATCACAGGGCAGACAGACAAGTACACACGCAAACCCAGGCCAGTTTTTCCAGGATCCACTCAACCTACTAGTACATCTTTGGACTGTTGGGGGGGAAATCCCACATTAACACAATGGGAACATACGAACTCCACACAGACAGTATCTCAGGTCTGGAATTGAACCCTGAGCCCCCGCAGTTCAAAGCGGAAATGCGTCACATTCATCCCTTAGCTATCCGAGGACTTTGTCTAAAGGGGGACCAAACTTTTTCCGGCAGCATCTCCTCATCCGCCAACAAATAAATATGGCAGCAGATGTATTACTTAATGTTTGCAATTAGAAAGTGTCAGTTCAGCAAAATTAATTCCTTTGCAGACGTTCCTCTCAGAATGTTAATTTCCATCAAATGAAAGGCACGTTTTCCATTGAGGCAGAAAAGTGTTCCATCAGGCCGACTATCCTTTAGTGAACAGCTCAGCAGTCAAAATCAACAGCTCTAAACCTGCCCAACTCCAAGGAAAAACTTGAGTCGTCAGGCTGGGTTTTCATCCTGAAAGTCACAGATCTTGACTTCGGAAGCTTCAAACTTTTCTGGACTGGGGATTCAAGTAATCTCATTTTTTAAAACCTAACTAAAATTTAAGTATTTGTACACACCTGAAGAAGGCTTCATAGCTAAAAACATTGAGACTCTTTTCAGCATGGAATAAACCTTTACCTGTTCCTTTGTAGCCTACTTCTTAAACATACTGTATATACCTTTAATATCACATGACCCAATAAACAAAGACTATAAATTCTTGACCACATTAAAGATGCAGCCTTTGTTGAGAATTTTAAAATCTTACCTTCAAATATTTTAATATCTCTAAATTCATAATCCAACTAGATAAATATTTCAATTTCACATTCATACATAATTTATTCACTGTACTTTATTTGTTAAGTTCCTTGAGGATACTTGAGTCAAAATCACTTTACAAGAATAAAATTGACATTTTGAGGGTGGACGTATGAAGTTGTAGGAACAAAACGGTGAAATTCATTACTTTTGTAACCCTTTACAGAAACGAAATCTGGCATTTTAACTTCTTACCCAACACCATCAAATCAGTGAAGACTTTATAACTGCAGCAACATCATACTGCTCTCTTAACTGTAAAGAGTTCAAATAATGCAGTTTGATCTTCCAAGCCCCTTCATTTTTAATCCATTAAGAAATTAAAGCAACTGTATTGTTTTGTATTGCATATTACATAAATCTTACCTCCCCTAACACATTCATGTTCCAAGTAAGCATAGCAATTTCAACTTTTTAGCACAATGCAAAAAACAGAAAAGGCACACTGTACGTCTGTTCTAGATTCTGGGAAAAAATGCAGCAACTCCCACCTCAAAATGTGATAAAAATCTCAGTAAAAGCATTTGTTAATCTGTGGTTTATACACTATCAGTCTTAAACAACCCATGGGACTGAGACAGTTCATTGTTTCCTTCTTTAGGACCTTATAATACAATATGTGGTGCCCTAGGCTACCACATTTGATACTTAATCTTCAAAGAAGGTAGTGTAGTCTGACCTGATTTGAATATCCCATGGTTATTATTTGGAAATCTTTTAAACCACAAATTGCTATAACTAGGTCAATACTGATAGCATTTTTTTCCTTTTTGTACTGGAGCTTCACAATCAACCTGGAGTGTGGCAATTTAGGTGCCAAGAAGACAGTTAATATAATTGTCCAGTTCTGTGAATCTTCTGCCTCCTTAGGGACTGGAGACCCAGGTAGGCTTATATACTGTATGCCAACTTTGGCTTGGACAGGCTATCAGGTTAGTCTGTTCTGAAGGAAAATGGGTTACTACCAGGTAATCTGGAGCTCTCATTTTACGACAAACGATACGGTATATGGTGCAGACGAGGATTTTCATTAACACGTCGAGAACTTAAATGCACATTTTTGCACCTCTTGGGAAATGGTTAATCGGAGAATTACACAGTGAAATCTGGTCCCCAGTTTTCATTTACTTTTTCTCTTTTTCTTCATCATATACAGCGTCCTTGGGTTTGGAAAGGAGCTTCATAAATAAAAGTTATTACGGTAGATAAACGAGACCGAGACCCCTTTCTCTCCCAGCTGGCTCCCTAACGAGACTAAGAGTTCAAGTGCAGCAATATTTTACAACCCAGGACAAAAGCTAGTTTGTGCGTCACTTCACATTGTAACGAAACGGTGTCTAAGTTATTGCAACTGCAGTTTCCCAGATTGCCGACTAAAAGTGGACTACTGAACAAGGGGCTTTAAGGGAGAGACTGCCGCATTCCAATCATTTCTCGTAATCCAGTTCTGACGCGCATGAAAAGACCTGTAGTGTTTGTGTTTATTGATTAAGAAGTCTAGCGATTTACGGAAAAGTTGCTTTTCGACTTTCCAAAAGCAAAAAAGTATCGCTTCTTATCGCTGCGGGTTCTGTTTCCCCATTTCTAACATAAACTGATGAGCTGAGGGAGGTCTGCATTAGAAGCTCCTCGGATGTCCGCCACACACAAGACAGTTACTTGGGCGAAACGTCAATTACGCGCTAGAAAAGATGCAAGAACCGCTCTTGAAACCGTTCTTGGAAGAACATCAAGCGCACAGACGTTAATGAACTCCAATAAACTAACAAACGCATCTCACAAGTTGCACTTACTTGCTTTCGTGGTGCTCTTCTCGGTTTCCAGGGACAATCTTACACACAGCAGTACTAGAACACATACCGACAGCAGGCTGGACGCTGCAATAAAAAAAGGTTTATGGTTTCGTTGGCGACTTGGAGTTTCACATGAATAACAGAACTGAAAAGCCAACCTGAACAGCGAGCGAGAACCGAGGCACTTACCATTCATTCTAGAGAGAATCAAAAACGACATGCTGTCCACTGCCGCAGAAACTTTAAAAAGCGCACACGGTACAACTAGGCACCATCAATCTATATTTCAGGTGACTTCCGGGGCGGAACCGAATGGGAGATTAAAAAGCACAAAATGAATTACGAGTGATCCAGACGGTATCGTGCGTTGACGTTGGGAGACGAAGCTCCAAATACTTTCGACCCCGGCGATACCAATTGAAAGCCCCTCCCCTTATCTGTAAATGGTCCGCTGCAAATAGTGGCACTTGTTGACTAAAAAGAGGGATAAGTAATTAGTATGAACAGGAAAAAAAAAAGAACTTCGCAAAAAGTTTGCCTTCTTCACGCCATTCATATAGAACAAGGATTCCCTAAATCCGGGGGAAATGCATCTGTGTGGTTTCTGGGTTCTTTATTGTTTCAGATGGGAAATTTGCCTTTGCAGGCAGGTATAATAACACGTTACACAACGCATTTAACGCAACGTAAAGCCATTAACAAGTAGGAGACATAGGTGTACGATGAGAAAAAATAAATATGGAGTAGCACAAACGCCAAACGGTTTAAGAGCTGGTTTAAATGCTCCAATTAAGCAAATAATGAGTGGAATCAGGACATTAGGAGCCCAGAGGGACTAAACATTTAGACAAACCAGCCCTCTAGAACCAGAATATCCATATTCCAAGTTTATGAATTACCCATGTTTAATTTCTTATGATCCATAGAACTAAAACATATTCACCTTCTTCTTGTTATTCCATTCCAGAACCTTATAATTTGCTGTACCTTACAACGTTTCAATGTGTTTAAATAGATACTGTGCACCTGACAGTGGCACAGTGATGTTGCTGCCTTACAGGTCTTGGGTCTAAGGTTCAATTCTGGCCCGGTGTGCTTCCTTTGAGGAGTTTGTAGGCTCACTGTGACCCACTGTCTCAGGACTGCTGTGTGTGCATGTGTACTAGGTCTCTTGAAAGAACCAGCACCTGGAGAGAAGCTGGTGAATCAGTCCAATTAATCCAATAACATGCTGTTTCAGATCATTAGATTGAAATCATATAGACACACTCACCCTCCAGGGTCAGGAGTGAGGACCTCTGTTTTATATAGTAAGACTACTCTGCCTGTATCTTTTCCAATCTGCTCAATTCCAACATTTAGATACAATCTGCACCTTTATTATTTCTCTGATAATCGGCAGGCTTGATGTAGTAATGATGGAGCCGATTGAAATGGCTCCTTAATTGCAATTTTCAGCTTGTTGCACATTACTTATAACTGATAGACTGCAACTTGTATCGATCCAAAAGAGAGTTATTCGAAGTGGCAACCAAGTTTTCCCGAATTTCATTAATTTAAAGATCCCCAAAAGATCTTAGATTTGAGTTGGACTGAGATTAGAGAAAAGACTTCCGTGATTAAAGTGTACTCTTCTCTTGTTTTTACAAGAAGCAGATACAAATAATCCCATTTCAAATAATCAAATAAATGGCCGAAGAAACAGGAAGCCATGCAATAAACATGCATGCATTATCAAACCAAATTGCAAACATATTCCAAAAGTGAAAATGATTAATGTACCTAGAATCTAAACAGGACTTTCTGTTTTGGGGAGGAGGGGGGAATTTAATAATTTTATTGTGGACACAGACTGCTTCATTCAGTGATTCAGATGACCTTTTGAATGAATAGAAATTCAGTGAAAACAGCCTTCCGATTGCACGCAGGCTGTTTCAGAAGTAAGTCATTTCCTATTTTTGACAACTTTAGACGTACTGCATATAGAGGCAAGACAGTAGTGTCAAACCTAATTACAACGCTAGAATTCCTTGACTTAATTGACTAGAATTCATTGACTAGTGAGGAAATACGGTACACCTTATTTGAAGATTCTTTTAAATGTTTTCTCGATTCTCAACACCCCCCCCCCCAAAAAAAAAAACCTCCACCAGTACAGGGTCATGGGTGAGCAAGAGCCTATCCCAGCAAGCAACATGGCCACCCAGAATACCCTAGATGGGATGGCCGTTCACGGCAGGGCACTGACATTGGCCACCATTTTTCCAGAAGGCAATTAACCTACCAGTTTGTCTTTAAATTAGGAGGAAATCTGAGCATCCACAGAAAACCTATGAGAATGCAGAGAGAACATGCAAACTCCACACAGATAGCACCCCAGGAATTGAACTCAGGGCACCAGGGCTCTGTCATGTCACCCCTCTTACTGATTGAAATACCTTTAAATCATGGAGTCAAACACAATTCCTGCAGGAATTCCACCCACATTCTCTGTTGCATTTGGTCGAATTATTTCATTAGCTGCATTAACTGCAACGCTTTTAACTGGGGTCTAAGGTGATTCATAGGTAACCGTACCTTTAATGAAGTGAACGTCTTGTGTTGTGAACTTGTTTATACTGCCACTCCCAGGTGAGAAGACGAGAGCAAATCCAGATATGTTTCCCTTTAAAATCCAAATGCGCACCAGTGCGGCACGGGATCTGGGAAAAGGCGACGCGCAGTTATTTGGAACAAGTCAAGATTTTCCATGCTCTGAGTGACTTAAAAAAAACGTGAACCCCCGAGAGCGTAATGTTTCGCTGTTATCAACTACTGCCAGGACTTGGCCTTTCTCCAAAATCCACGGCAAAGTCTGATGAAACATTAAGATACGTTTTGCGGGTAATATTCATGTGCTTGGGCCGGTGGCGTGTATGTACAGTAAGTGTGGTAAAAGTTGGGGAACACAGTCTTAGAGCAGCCTTTAAATGCAAAACGAATAACTCCTCTCCGCCATCCATAATAACAAGGAGAAACTTCACATAGAAACGTTAGCTTAATTTTGGAGGGCTGCACATGTACCGGTGTCATCCAAACCTACCGTTTTATAAATTACTTTTTAACCCCAGGAAGATCTTGAGCCCAGCGATACTGAATTACGTTGTTCATATTATATCCTATATTTACAGGGTACCTACAGTACCAGGAGTCGGACGCTTTTCCTTAGAGTTATGTTTATTTTCGTGCAATTCGGATCATAATCATTTAACGGATCCCCCCCTCATGGTATGTGCATGCTAAAACCGTGTAATTTTAAACGTTGCAGGAATGGATTACTACGTGCCAGCAAATAGAATAAACTAAAAAAAATCTCCTTTTGTTTGTTTTAAAATGAGGCGAATATCTCGTATTCGCAACTTTTGTGATATTTCTAATCGATCAAATCTTTTTGTAAAAAAAATAACAAGTGCTATGATTCGACGAAGAAGATGAAGCAAGGTGAAAAAAATAAATAATACACATTTATTATTGTTAAAATAATCGTTGGTGATAAAAACAACAACCACTGCAATCACAATAAATAAAAATTCGTCTGCCCCGAAACAAGGTTTGGGATTTTACAAAGCCAGTTCTTTTTTAATTTTCTAGCTCCCTCTGTCGTTTCTTTGTTAATACAACAGATTCTTTTCTACTCTACTGCGACTTGACTTTTCCTATGAGCAGGAAGCAAAACACCGCGAAGAGTAGTGCTGTAGTGACTGTAGTGTGACTCATTTTTATTGCTGTGTAATATATTGCATTTCTGTAAATATGCAGTGTATACAGTACGTTCTTAGTCAGACTGTTTCTGGATAATATGGCGTGCATTGCAGCAAATGATAGGATGTTTGTTGGTGGTGTTATTGTTATTCAGGAGGAAATTGTTTTCCGTATCTATTTCCGCATCTAGCCTATACAGGAATTTAAGCTTAGAATTGATTTTTTTCTATAATGGAAAGCTGAATACTGAACTGATTTGATCATGTTTAATTTGATAAAACAGCTCACGAATGGTTGGCAATCCTTGTTGTTGTTGTTGTTGTTGTTGTTGTTGTTGTTGTTGTTGTTGTTGTTGTTGTTGTTGTTGTTGTTGTTGTTGTTATAATAATAATAATGACCGCAAAGCCTATTTCGTTTTCTCCAAGAACTAAAATGAATGCCTTCAGTCTTTCCAAGATGCAAAGAATGGTTGTTGCCTCTAAGCTGCAACTCAGGGCTTAAAATATGCCATTTTCTTTCCTTGACGCAAATACTGTATACCCCTTTTGTCAAAATAAAGTGGAAATTTGCATTTGAAATGTATGTAATTTCTACTTTATAGAAAGATTATGAATATCCATTCAAACAGAACCTCTGTTTAAGTGCGCTTTATAAAAATATTCCAAACAATGGTATTGAAAGCCTTTTACAAATCTATGACTTTGTGCATCAGATATAAAATTGCAATAATTTCTCTAATACACAAACCTCAGTTACAATAATATCCATTATTGTATTTATTTTCCAAGAATGTTTTCCAAAAAGCTAAGTGGAATTTCTTTTTCTCTACATTTGTTACAAACCAGCTTTCAACTGCATTTAGGAAGCATCTCAATATATTGTGCTACTGTTGTGACTTTTTTACGTTCTTGTTTTGAAAAGACCCAGGGACATCCGCTCAGCTCTTGCAATGTACGAGCCGTTCAGACAGACATTGTTGATGGGTAAAACTGTATAAACAAGTGTGTAATGCTAACATGTACACCACATTGCTGTAAATATGCTTCCCTTTGTACAAAACTAAGGCTCTATGTTAAACACTTTTATTCCACAGAATTTCCCAGATCACGCTTTGCTTTGAAAGTGCAAGGTCTTCATACTGAGACTGAGTACATCTAATTTTACTTACAGTACATGCTGTACATACAGAACATCACACATATACGCATTCATCCCTCTGTGAAAGCTGTTTGTTCTTGGTAAAGATTACAGCAATCAGGACGTACACAGTACACAAAGCAAGACTACCCTGTGGATAGGATGCCCAGAACACGGGCAATATAAAAGCACCTATTAATCTAGCAAGTAATTCCTCAGCACGTTTGAAGAAACTGCAGCAAAATGAGAAAACCCCACATAAAAACGGAGCAAAAAAAAACAAACTGGAATTGAACTCAGGACTCAAAAACTGCCACCGTGCCTTCATTCAATCCTGAAAACATAGTCTTCCAATCTTGAACTTGAACTTTATTGCCATATGTAACCGGTACTGGTACAATGGAATTCTTACTTACAGAAAGTCTCTCGATTGTAAAACAAGTGTAAAAAACAAAACAAAGTGCATCAAGACAATATACAAACAAACAGTAGACAATGTGATCAATATTGACAAGAAACACAGGAGGAATA